AGGGTAGCGTGATGTACACGTCTTTCTTAGGAGCGAGTTGGAGAGTGGGTCTTGGTGTTCTGACTACTTTATATCCCCTGATGAACTTTTCTGGATAATTGTTATCAACCAGAGTTTATGTCAACTTTCTTTCTTCTTCATCAAATGTGTCTTCAGTACACATTCGCTGGATTCTACTGAAGAGGCACCTCGCTGAATAAGGATGTTTTGTATCGAACAGGACAGAAATTGTTGTAATTGAGATACTCTCCTGTCCAGGTAGGTTTTGTATAAATAGATCTTTTTATTGACACATCAAGCCGTCGACTAAGCAATATGTCTAGAAAAGATAAACAATTATCTTCGTATCATGATATGATTCATGACGACACCAATCATGTCTTTTGACGGCCAGTTTACATTTGGCGATGTGAAGACAGAGAGAACCTCTACTTTGACCAAGCTGGTGATTTTCAGAGATGTTGAAGTTTATCTTAAAAATAATGCTGTTACTGTCTTCTTTTTCTGTTGCATCTTTTTGTTGACATAATACAGATAGAAGTCGACTATTCAGTTTTTGGATAACATTTAGACACTATTTAGGGAGCCGTGTCAATGTATTGTATTCATCCGATTCAGCCTAGGTAAGGAGGAGAAATCAATCGACGAGACTGTGAAGCTACATTGACTGAGATGGTTAGAACATGTATTACGTATGCCTAACCCTTACCTTCCTAGATAGGCAATGTTAGCTAACATAGGATCAGGCTGGAAAAGATTCAGTGGTGGTTAAACCAAAACATGACCTTATCAGTCAATGAAATCCACAACAGTTAGTTTAAGCCAGCCAAGTAGGGAGGTGTAGACTTCCTGACTGGTTGGGGTCCTCGGGGCGGTAAACGCCAATGAAAGCTGGAGAAAATTGGTGATACGGATCAAACTCGTTGTCAGTGGCGCAGATGCATTGACTCCTTGTGACTCACAATACCCAATGAAACTATACTGTCCCTCATTATTACTATTCTCTCTGCCTTAAATCCCTGTTTACTGTCTCTACTTTGAATTTCATTTTACTTTCTTCACTTGCTTTGTGTGCTACGTGTAGTGTGGATACTTGAAATGCTGCACATCGGTGCAAAGTTCTGTGTTGAAACCAGTCAGTAAGTCAGTCAGTATTCAAACCGGTTGTACAGCTACTTCACTCATCTCTTTATAACCCCACATTTCGCAAAGCTGAATGAAGTTTCACAGATGAAATATTTTTTAAGTGTAAGTAATTCGCCTGTTTCGTTGACAGTTGAATCCTAATACACTGCAGATGTCCATTTCAGTCACATCTACTGAATCGGTATTATGATGAAATTGATGAACTGTTCAAATCAGGTTGTCTGCTGTATGGAAAATCCCTTCTGAACGACCTAATTACAATATTTTTTTACATATTTGGATGTTTCAACTAACCTAGAACCTACAAGACCTGGATTTTGCGCGTGGATGATTTATGTTTGATGTCACACAAAATCGAAGACTTACAAGCGAAAACCGACAAACTGGTCGAAGAAGCAGCCGGCGAAGACGGGACTCCATGTGAACATAGACAAGACGGAGGTTATGAAAATAACCAACCAACCACCACCAACAACAACAACAGCGGAAACATCCAGCCGCAATCACCATCAACGGGAGGGATTTGAAAGAGGTCACTTCATTCATTTATCTAGCATTGAGAACTGTCTCAACAACAGGTCAGAGGAACCGACGAGGATTTCAAATCGAGCGAGAATCGGGAAGGCGAGAAACACATTCATCAACCTGAAAGCAATCTGGAAATCTTCGTCACTCAGCCAGCATCAACAACAAAATTCAGTCGGATTTTCGGTACAAACGTCAAGTCAGTCGGTTCTTCTATACGGAACGGATCAGAAACTTGGCGGGTGGGTCACAAAGAATATTGCCAAAAACCTGTAAACCTTTACGAACAACTCTCTTCGCTCTATACTGAAGATCAGATGACCGGGTCGGAAAGAATCACCAACAATAAACTATGGACACAAACAAACAAAATAAGAAGCCGTCGCCAAACAAATATGCAGGAGAAAGTGGAGATGGATCGGACACTCGCTGAGGAGACCGCTGGGTGATATCGCCCGCGCGTCAGGCCATTGCTCTAGTGGAACCAGGCCGAAAGGGGAGTGGCGATTGAGATGTTAGTGCAAGGGTGACATGGAAGAGATCGTGTGAAGAGGAGTTGAAATAGTATGGACTAACATGGATGCAGGTGAAAATTACAGCAGAAGACAGAGGCAAGTGAAGACGTGCAGTTGATGCCCTGTGTTCCACTAGGAATCCAAGGGAACAATAATAATAAAATAATATAATTATTATCCGCTATTCTCATAAACCTTATCATCATTGTTCTAACGTTTGTATATAAAATGTTGATTTGATCTTTATTATTTGTCTTTGTTCCTGTTTAATCTGTAATTTTAATGCTTCTCCCTGTGGTTGTGTGATGAAATTGCTAATTGATTGTTTTACAACGGGATTTTGTTTGATTGAATCAGGGTTATTTTGATATTGGACTGTCTGCTGGCATTGTTTGGTGGGCAAATCTTGTGGACAGAGTTTTGATCCCACCTTGTTGGGAATACTTCTCTTCATTTTCAGGCACTTCATACAGTTGATTTAGTTAACTAATTTTGTTCTACAATACCTATTTTCTACTCGGAGAAGAACTAAATTTGTATAGTTGCCTAATGGCATTCTTTAGATAATTCTGACCATATAATATATTGATTATGTGGCACAGGATGCTCACCGATCATGCACATGGTCCAAGGTTCGATATCAGGCCACCGACGCACTCCTTTACCCCTCATTAAACCAGTAATGAAAAAAACCTAGGAAGCAGAAAAGGTTGTGTATGGGGTCAGCTACCTAAACCTGTAAAAATAAACACTGCTATAGAAACTTCAGTCCTCTAGCTTGAAGCTCCATATGTTCACCAGGGAACGTTAAGGAATAAAAACAATGATATTATTTTCCAAATGAATGTATACTGAACAAAGAATACTCTTTTCGATAACCCCTTCATCATCAGGCTCTTCAGTTAAATATACATGATAGTGGATGAATGATTTAGAGTTACGAACAACATTAATGTTGTTGTTTAAATAACATCAAGTCAATAATATCAATAGATTACAGTTCAGTAGCGTCAACATAACAGTCAACTGAATGTCAGAAAACACACTAGGAAAGATAACAATATTACAAATTCATGAATTGATAGCCTCTACTGAAGGTTGGCCAGGGCAGTAGTAGGGGCTGGACTTCCTTCTTTTGAAAACAGAGCACTGGTTGTTTGAGGCGAACTGCAACGGCCTCTGATGTTTGGAGGATGTGGTGCTTTGATGATTTTGTCAATTTATTAGGCCCCCGGTAGATGATAGAGGTAGATTCTTCCACGCTGACTGGCTGGCTTTGTGACCGGTTTGCACTAGATGGTCCAATATCGAACTGTTTATGGTTTTAACTACACCTTTACTTAGCCATGTTGGGAGATCTTCTCGAGCACAACAACTCAATTTTCTAGGGCAACAGTTAACATAACTCGCTGCACCACAACCTCATTTGAATTGGTAGATGCAATTTAAATTTGCTAGTGTAGGTCCTTCATCTTTTAGTCGAGGTAGCTCCATCGGTCGTTTAGAGAATAACTCTTGTAGTTTGCCAGCAGTTCTTTGAAATGATTTTCTTAATTTCCTCGTAATTATCTCACTTGGTATAACACCCTTGAGTTGTAGTCGTATATAAAGTGGCTTCTTGTTTACAGACAGTGAGTAGTCCTTTTCAGCTTTCTTTGCTAAGTGTTTCTTGATACATTTTTTTGACCATCTAGTGCAAACCGGTCACAAAGCCAGCCAATCAGCGTGGAAGAATCTACCTCTATCATCTACCGGGGGCCTAATAAATTGACAAAATCATCAAAGCACCACATCCTCCAAACATCAGAGGCCGTTGCAGTTCGCCTCAAACAACCAGTGCTCTGTTTTCAAAAGAAGGAAGTCCAGCCCCTACTACTGCCCTGGCCAACCTTCAGTAGAGGCTATCAATTCATGAATTTGTAATATTGTTATCTTTCCTAGTGTGTTTTCTGACATTCAGTTGACTGTTATGTTGACGCTACTGAACTGTAATCTATTGATATTATTGACTTGATGTTATTTAAACAGCAACATTAATGTTGTTCGTAACTCTAAATCATTCATCCACTATCATGTATATTTAACTGAAGAGCCTGATGATGAAGGGGTTATCGAAAAGAGTATTCTTTGTTCAGTATACATTCATTTGGAAAATTATATTATTATTCTAAAGTAGTACCTCAGATTTAATTGAAAATGGCAGTCTCTCCGCTATCGTTAGGGCGTTCTGTGACTGTTATTAAATCAAGGAAGTTTTAGTCAAGTATACAGTAGTACATCAGTCCCCTGCATTTGGATCACAACACGTCGGTTTTTTAAGGTAACATTGTCCTCAAAGTAATAGAATATCTTAAAAGAATACGCTTTTACACACTCTATCATGACCTGACATCAGTTAGAGAATTACTGGCAAATCAAGGATTACTAGGCAGCTGTTTCGTCGTAGTTTGAGGCACTTCATAAGTACTAACCCAGATCGTAATCTGAGCCTATAACTAATCAAATCACTATAAGCCAGCACTTCATAGTTAATATGATGCAGCTGTACTTAGAAGTCGTGACCAGTGGGATTGGAATTCATTGGCTAGCCAATGGATCGGGTCACAGTATCTGAATGGTCTAAGAGCTCGCTTTATGACCTAGTGGGTCCTGGATTTTTACTCTGACGGTGGCTTCGTGACGCTGAAATTTTCCTAAAACTATGGCAAAATGCCTGTCCAGTATCCCCTGAATTTTTCTAATGGTTTTCCAACCCCTAACTAACTCATAATGATACTTCTAAACAATCAGAATCTTAGCAAACTCATCACACTTGAGAATAAGCTCTGTTGCAGTTTATTTTCCTGTTTTAAATTTCGTGAAATTACAAATTATGATAAAGTTAACTTCAAAAAATATTTCACAAACGAATATTAGTAGTAATAGTAATAATACTAATAATCATACATAAAAACGCGAAAACAGGCGACATGGTTTTAGTTTCAAAAAATCAATAAGCAACAATTTGTTTAGAACATAAACAAGCAAAAATAGCATCATTCCACGAGGAGAACAAAATAACAGACGACAGGAACAGCAAGAAGGAGAAGAAGGAGTAGCAATAGCCGTTCAGTAATCAAATTTCTGAAAACTAGTATAAAATTAAAGAAGTATTGATTGATTAAAGACGGTGAGAATATTCATTGAATAGATAAAAATCCAAGATAAGAGTTTCAAGTTGTCCATCAACTATGGAATGTGTACATTTCCCCGTTTGGCTACAATCATTCCTGTGCATAAAATTTTGTTTTTAAAGTTTAATAATAAATCGAATCTCTACGATACTGCCATGATGATGATGATGATTATGATCATAGTTCGATAGACAGGTGGTAGGTAGTAAAAGACTGAACAGTACTCAACAGAGACAAATTCACAAGTTTCCAGTTGAAATAAATAAATAAAACAAACAGAAAGGGGTTATAAAACATATTTTGAGGTAAAGCATAAGTCAGGATCAAGAAGGCGAAAACTTAGAGAGAAACAAAAGCTTGAGCTAAAACACGCGCAAGACGCTTTGCCTTTTTTCACAGTGACTCAGTTTCTTTCAGCTTAAACAAAAAGTGGTTCAATTTGCTTGGAGTTATCAAAAAATATTATATATATAAATACGACATGAATAGGTTTATTTTTCTTAGATCAGCTGTTTTATAATAAAAAAGGCTTATCACACACGCGCACACATACAAGCCTTTTGCACACACAAAAAGACGAACAATTCAAATAACAATATTCAATAGAAAATTCAAAGTTCAAGTGTGTACAATACGTTGTCTACTCATTTATTCTATAAACGTAGTATATAATCATATCCTAAAGTAAAGTGTGTTTTTTGTTTTCAGTTCAAACACTTTTTTAAGAAACACAACGAAAAAATATAAGGCTTGTAGGAGGAGAGTTCATTTTACAATATAATATAAAATGAAAACAAATAATTTTGTATACAGCTGATTGATTCATTGAGATTAGTGGTTTGAGAATCCTATTATTTTTAAAAAGTATGTTCCTGTGTGATGTAATATCTGAAAAAATAGTGTTTTCGGGGTAAAACTATCTGTGTATGTGTGTGTGTAAGCGAGTACCCCATCAGCTGCATTATAATGTACACCAGAGATTGCAAAAAACGCCACACACACACACATACAAAATTTGAGCAAAACTACTAGTGAAGATGAGTGTGTGTTCCTAGTGATCAAGACACACCCACGCACACGTAAACACACACAACTTCACTTTCGGTAGGGAAATAATGCGAAAAGACAAAAACACAACAAAACAATGACAACAATAAAAATAAGTCTGACTAAACGTTCGGGGTGAAGGTTGAAGGGGCTGGTTTCATCTAAAGGTGAGACTACTCACAATTAATCAATAAAAACACGCACACACACATACAACTGTATATTAAGTAATTCCAGGGGAAAGCAAAGAAGTAAATTACTGTTGATAAGAAACAAACAAGTGTATTTATAACACTGACAATTAATTGAACTGGAGGTGTTTTCGGGTTTAGAAGCGTGATTATTAAGACTGCTTGTCTGTTGCACTCTGGTTATTGGTATTATTGTTACTATTATTATTATTATTACTATTACTACTATTGTGATTATCATTATCATTTTGAGAGGCAACGCTGTTGACTTTTTGATTTTCAGCTTTGACTTTTTTCTCTTCATTTGCGTGTAATTCTGTATAGTAGGCCAATTGTTCCATTGCTGGTTGAACGATAATTGGCTGTACAATGGTCAAAAGAAAAAATAAGGAAATAAAGAAATCATAACACATTTAGATTTTAAGATTTTGGGGAACTTGGATTGATTTAATGGTGTTAAATATTCCCATGTCACATGATCTAAAAGTCAATCTGAACAAAGAATATTCTTTTCAATAATTTCTCCTCTTCAGGTTCTTACAATTATAAGACAATTATGATATTTGTTGTCGTTACAATAAAGGCCAGTTATGCGACGGCGGATACATTTTTGCTTAACGTAGAATAACAGATTAGTAGTTATGGGGTGTCAAAATAAATAGTCGTATTTGTGTGACTAGAGGTGCTAGTTGGCTGAAATCGATTACAAAATATTGTAAAATGGGAGACAATGGTGGTGGTTAGTTATAATAGATTTGTAGACAGTAGGGTAAGAAAACTGGCAAGTCAGTTCAAGGTTATGAAAGGTGTCAGGTGAGTGACATTATCTGATCTCTCAATACATGCCTTCACCTGTTTCATTTCACATATTCGTTATTTCATTATGAACCTCTCATTGCAGTCTTACTATCTCCTGTTTACTACAGACCACTTTGTACCAACCATTCACTCACCTGACACCTTTTATAACCCTGAACTCACTTGTCAGTTTTCTTACCCCACTGTCTACAAATCTATTATAACTAACCACCACCATTGTCTCCCATTTTACAATATTTTGTAATCGATTTCAGCCAACTAGCACCTCTAGTCACACAAATATGACTATTTATTTTGACACCCCATAACTACTAATCTGTTATTCTACGTTAAGCAAAAATGTATCCGCCGTCGCATAACTGGCCTTTATTGTAACGACAACAAATATCATAATTGTCTTATAATTGTAAGAACCTGAAGAGGAGAAATTATTGAAAAGAATATTCTTTGTTCAGATTGACTTTTAACTTGGATTGAGTTCATTTTTAATGGTTAATTATAATAATCTACTTTATTCCAAAAAAGACAATAATTATAATACAGAATGGAATTCCCAGCATTTGTCACAATATTGCATCTGATTCACTCAAAATATAAACAAAATTAACAAGAGGAATTTGTCCACGTCTACGATATAAAGTCAAAAATATTCGAAGTACAAAATGAGAATCCCAAATATAACAATAATAATAACAGTGAGTTTGTTTCAAACAGTATTGTCGATTCAGTTTGAAAATTTTAGCATGTTAAAGATTATTGAAACTAAGGTTCTGCTGCAGTAGTTTGGTGAGGGAAAGTACAAAATTAACAGTTATAATACAGCTTAACAAATAAAAACAAACACTTGAGATGATTATAAATATAAGAAGTACAATAACAATAAAGGTTGATATTATAAGGGTGGAGGAAATGGCTTATTTAATAGTGCAAATAAGGTTAGCTAGTTCATGCCTAACACTATTTTCATCACATAAAGTACGTGCTAAATATGGTATAGTGGAATTTTTATACTTAGACGTACGTGCATAAAGTCTTCTGAAAAGACATCTTGTTTTACCTGAGGAGGAGACACATGGTTGGAGCAGCGGGTGCTGCAGCGGATGCTCACAGTCTGACAAGGTTCCTTTAGCAAATTTGTTGTCTGAAATCAAGTGCCTATCAGTGACGATGTCAACAATATGGCCCAATGGGATACCACTCGCCCTACTGACTGACATTCTTCAGAGTTCTACGAAGTACAACATATTCTATTTTTAAGCAATCCAGGATAGAATAAGCAGGGGTGAACAGTAAAGAAGAATAGGTAAGATGCACGAGTTGACAAACTGTAAGAGGAGGAGGAGTTGAGTTATGCCTGAGTGCCTTAACTTCTTAATGTAAAACGTCAGACGAAATATTCTTTTAGAAGTCGCTAAGACATGGAAAGATCAGGATAGGTCATCAGAAAGAATTAATCCATGATACTTAACTTTAGATTGATTGAGGCTAGGGGGTTATATCATACACGAGTTAACCGAAGTTAGAATTCACAGGGCACTGAATTCTGTCCATTCGAAGTGGCTGAATGGTTAACGAGCTTCGTCTGGTAGGCTGAAGGTCCCGGGGTTTCAATCCCTGATGGTGAGTTGTAGGTGCTCACGTGGTTTAGATTTCGATTCTCTTCCGCCGCACTCCTAAACTTTGATTAGCCGGGATTAGACACAATAAAGAAGGAAAGTTTGGCATGATGCCAGAAAATTAATCTAGTAAAATAACACCGCAACTACCAAAAATTCAAAGCTTGTAGCTAGAAGTCCTTTGTACTACTTGGAACGTTAATGAAACAATCTAGATATATGTGTAATCGATCTGTGAACTGAAAGAATTTTTTTGAACTTATAAAAATTTTGGTTGGCAGTGCAATAAATTGAAACATTCAGACTAGACAGTAACTTGCTTTCTAGCTACTATTTAATAGGACAAATGAACTTTGTTTGTTTTTGCTACAGTTCTGGAAATGTTTTGCCACATTATCCTGCATACCTTGGCGGTTCAACGGCAGGATGCTCACTGTTTTGACTCCGACTCCTGACTGTCTCACTCGTAAATCTCACCAGTGGATGGTGGATAGATAGGTCCAAAAAAGTGTGTAGGTTAGGCATGAAGCTTGCAACCCCACCTTGTTAAACCAAGCACCACCTCTACTGAACTTCCAAAACTTGAAGGCTTTATGTTTCGCTTGAAACGTAGTGGAGAATGAAAAGAACCAGCAAGTTTGTATTGAAATAGCAGAGACGATTTGTACTTCAAAAGAATGATTTTAATGTGATCGCGTTCTCTGAGCTGATTGGTGTAAACACAACCGGCTTCGATACAAATTTTGAATCATCTATGGAGATACATTTATATCATTCATAGAGAATTCAAATAAGTTCACTACTTCATTTTCAAGTATGCACTAAATATGATGCCTAGAAGGACAACGAAAGCTTCGTAGTGAAGTTATCCAACTCATACGATGGAACCACATTAGAAAAGTACATGTGAATGTGTTTTTTATAAAGAGCTGATTCGCAGAGATTTGATTTGTTTTTCAAGTTTAATCACGGATTGATATCACTTAGAGGACCATTAAAAACCGACTATGGAATACTTACTGTACAAGTGTTTCATTCCAGTTTGGGATTCATTTAAGTGGGTGGGCGGGTCACTACACGAAAGATATTTTATGTAGAATAACTACTTCTCTTACAGAAATATCAAGTGTTGGTTTGTGAGGATTTAACTGATTATAATCTCACATCAGGTAAAGAAGGATTTAGAACAGATGTTTCGTCTTAGTCTTGAACTCTTCATCAGCTCACAACCTCCAAAGTTGGATCTGAGGCTCAGGAGACTGAATTTTCTCTAACTACTCTTATGCAAATGTTTTTCAAGTAGCCGATGATTAGGACACTTTGGAAACTTGTGCTGCACACAAAGCTGTCGGCAAGAATAATGAATTTTGTTTACTCTATCTAATCCATAATTTATAGAATTTAGATTTCTACCCAAAAGTTTGCCTAAGACGTCTCATAATGATAATAATCATGACAATAGTTTTATTCTGGATAGTATTTATAAAATGTACAGAATTTTTCCGGGGAGTTTATTGTATGATATTTACTCCTCGTACAAGCTACTGTCACACAATGCTGTCTGACTTAAAGCACAAACGAATCCATTATGTTATTTCTTCTTTGTCTATATCGAGAAATGCACAACATTTGGTTGACAGCTAATCATGAAAAGCACTTAAGGATATAACTTAGGAATAGTTTTTCTCGTGCACTGGGCGGGATACACTACCACCTACGTTTATACATTTTCTTAAGTGTAGCAGAAAATTGCGAATCAGTAGGTTGTAGGCATTTTAAATACTCGCGAGATTAAATAATTCTAGTAAGGGTCATATTTTAATAGATTAAAACAAAGTGTGAACAAGAGAAATCGGATACGCAACATAATGATGGAGGTTCAGGAGAGTACAAGTTTTAATTTGGCTTGGAATCATGCTCTTGTCCACTCCAAATAAAATATCAAGTGGCATCATCCTGGAGAGAGTAAGTGGATGCACTGGATACAGAATTCCTCCAGTTCCACCGGGAAAAGCTGTATTCAGGGAAGACAAATCAAATTGAAACTGTACGCATCGTCATCACAGAACAAAGCATTGAATGGAAGTTAAAACTCAATCTACCTCAACTTCATCGACTTTGAAGAGGCTTCCAAAGGAAAAAGTTCACCGAAATTGATTTGAAAATTACTTCAACACTATGGCATTCAGTGTCCAAGTCCTTATCAACCTCATTCAACAGCTGGCTATATGACAGTGCTTGTCATGTGTAAGGTGATCCACAGCAGAAAACTCCGTAAGGCGTTCTAAGTGAATACAAAAGTAAGACAAGGCAGTGAGGGTAATATCGCAAGTGATATTCTTAATTGTGGTGGAGTGGATTATGCGTCAGACTGTCCACAGGGAGTGGTAGGACAAGAATAAGTTGTACCGATAGGAAGACTTCATCTAAAAGATCTGGATTTCGCGTGTGGATGATTTATGTTTAGTGTCATACAAACTCGAAGACTTGTGGACAGGTTAAAACCAACAAACTTGCAGAAGAGGCAGCGAAAACATGACTGTAGTTGGACATAGAGAAGACGGATATGATGAAAATACCCACGCACGAACAACTATAGCAGTAACAACCAGCACCAACGAGAGATATTTGAAAAAGATTATTTCCTTCACTTATCTGCCTAGGAAGCACGGTTTCCTCCACAAAGCGATGGAAAGGATGCAGATGTCAAAGCCAGCCAGCCAGCTAGGTAGAAAGAGATAGGCAAGATATTCCTCGATCAACCTGAAACCAGTTTGAAAATCTTCTGCACTCCACCTCAATCAGCATAAAGAACAAGATTCAGATTCTGTTCAACACAAACGTGAAGTCAGTCAATTCGTCAGTCCGTCACTTGTTCTATGTGGATCAGAAACTTCCACTGCATGTTGCAAAAGGCATCTGCAACAAGCTAATTCACACCTGTATCAAAAGCTACCCATTGGGTAGCCATCCGGCTGGCAAACAGAAGGAATTAGCGAGAAGAAACTCTGGCTGGCTGGTTGGTTGGCAACAAACCAACAGGTAAGAGCCAATGGCTCAACAAATATGTAGAGGAAAATGGAGATGAATTGATCAGGCATACGTTGAGGAGGCCATCGGATGACACAACGCTCAATACAGGCCATCACTCGAATGGATTCCAAACAGGAATTGGCGAGTGGGTCATCGGTGCGAGAGTGACATGAAGCAGATTGTGTGGCAAGTTGGAGGAGATGAGAGATTATGAGCAGTTGTATACCCAGCTTAAGAGGAGAACGGAGAATACAAGAAAGTGGAGACGTGTTGTTGAAGCCAGCTATATGTTCCACTTGGAAGTGAAGGTAATAATAATACGTTTTAAGTACGCCACTTAATAATGAACTCTTGCACAGGGGAAAAAGCGATACAAAAATGAAAAGGATGTTAAAACATACCTTAACTTCTGGTAATAACTTTGCTAGAGACTCAAATAGAGGCAGAATAACAAAACGGATGAAACCACACTGACTAGCAGATTTAGTCACTTTATGACGATCCATAAATGGTGCAACTGGAAGACCAACAAGTTTTTCATAATCACTCTTTAACAATAAAAATATAAATAAATAAGGTACTTAGACATAATATCACTCCTATATTTAAAATACACTCAAAGTAATAATTACAAGAACATCAACAGAAGATTTATAAAATGTATTACATCAGAATGGACAAGGAAATATACTAGCAATTAGTATTCACTCTCCTGTTTTTCATGGCTTTGCGTTCCGACGGGAACCTAGAGCCTACTGTCGGGTTGTCAACTAAGCGAGGTCCAGTAGCGCGTAGGCCACGAATCGAATATTAGAACACATGCGTGGTTGGAGAGCATGGAACCCCTAAACCATCAATGCAAAGTGTCAGCAATAATTTGATAATCACCAAAGGAAACTTGCCGTAATTTAAGACAAAATCGGTCAAAAAGCCGAAATGTATTCAAGAAAATCCATCGCCAGGTATCTCCTTGACATGGGTTATGAGGTGGAACGTCGAAAAGTCGTTCAGAATTATCAATAGGCAAAAGAGTTCAATTCTTCTCAAATTTGCTAAAGCCATTTTCATCAAGCGCCTGAAACCTGGTTTGTGCGTTCAGAAAGAAGCAGTTATCAGTCTTTCTTTGCCCTGGTAACTGGATATTTTCATATCTTTATGAATGCGTAGTGCCAAAAAGTTTCCATTGCGTATGATTATTATTGTTCGGAATAGTGTTTAATATTACATATATACATATCATTACTGTATGCATGTGTTGATAGATTGATTTTTATTTAAAATGAACTATGTGGAAGTATGTTAAAATCGTTTTTGTAGATATATTTAATAATGTCTTTGGCCTGTAAGTAGCTGACGAGAAGGCAACGAAATAAAAGATAGTACCACTTTATTCTGAAAAAACTGTCGTTCTTTGTTTATTGAAATAAATTGATGGGAATAAATGTATGAAATTAGATTATAAATTCTTTCAACAACAACAACAACTGATTCAACAGTTAGTATAGTAGGAATAATTTATTAGATAGTGAAGAACACTATTAGCACAATCCGTTTCCTTCGATTTGCAATAAACACAGCAATAAAATTTGATCTATTCGATGAAGTGATCTCATTTTCAAAAGTTAGTCTGTAGGGATTTTACTTATTTCAAGTTTGATCACTGGTTGATGTCAGCTGGAGACACGCTGAAAACCAGGCGGGATTGGATAGTTGTTTTACCGATGTTTCGGTTTTTTTTTTCCAGCAGGATGCACTTACCAAAGTTCGAACTCCGAACTAGGAAGAAACGTCTGTTCAGTACTTCCTCATTTTTACTGGCTTTTTAACCGACATCAACTTGTGATTAGACCTGAAATAAATCGAATCCCTACAAAATAAATCTTGGCAATTTATCCAATGCTCACTAGTGACTGACTGCTGGACAATGTTGCCCGGGGTTATAGTCAGAAGTCCTGAATATTAAAGTCCACCTGGAAGAATTGATAGAAGCTGGAATTCATGGATCACTAGGTCTGGTTGTTGTGTCTGAATAGTTCATGAGCTTGTTTTGTAACAGGAAGGTCCTGGATTTGAACCCCAGTGGGCGAGTAGTGCGGAAGAAATCGAAGCTGGGAGGAAATAGCTATCCAATACTCCCTGGTTTCCCCTTGGTTCTCCTACTAACATTAATCCATGGTCAAAATTAATCCCATTTTATTGTATCAATATTCTTCCTCTTGCTGACAGCTTAAATCGCCTAGAATGTTATAAGTAATACGTAAATAAATAACACAGTTTTAAATGAAAGTAACGTTAGCGATGTTACCAATAACTAAACATTAACACACAGATTTTCGAGAGATACTTTGTAGGGATTTGATTTTTTTCAAGTTGAATCACGGACTTATATCAATTAGCAAACAAGTGAAAGCCAGTGTGTACTGGATACCTGTATCGTCCTAGTTTGGTACTTTTCACAGTACCTTCCAAACCAATGTTCAAAACCATGTCTGTCCAGTTAAAAGGCGGATTCGTGGACTGTTTAGCCAATGGGACCCTATCGAGGGACCCATTAGTTCTATCGATTCAGGATATTAGCCATACCATCATACAGTGTCATCGGTGAGTATATGTCCTCACATTTGTACAGATGAACCTCAGTGGTAGCGCATTGTCACTAGAACTACATGGAACTTCCTTCTGTATCCAGTCACTAGCGAATATTATATCAATTTCCAACAGTTAATTTTTCAAGGATTCAGATGCCAGTGGGTGTCTAGAGTAGGCGATTCCGAGGGTAGAACCAAACATCTGTCTAGTACCCCCTTTATTTTCAACACTTCTCTAACTGATAAGAAATCCATTATCAAACCTGATACAACCAACACGCGAACAAAATATCTACACTTCATTTACACGTGATATCATTTTAAAGTCATTTAATATAGCGAGGAAAACTAAAGAGTTAAGACAGCTAGGGAACGTAAAACACTATGAATGCTACATTTGACATTACGCAACATAAATGAACAAATTACAAGGTTGAAGAACGAATTCATCCTAGTAAATAGGTGAAAATTACTGAAGAACTGGAAATTAAAAAAAAAACATGGTACTTAAAATGTAACAAAATTAAAAAATAAAACTCAATTCCTATTCACCCAATTTCTTTCTGCATGGACAGTTACAACTAAACTTTCGTATAGCGTAGAGTCTCTCCCACAAGACTCAGATCATTCTGATTACCTTATTGCGTCATCACTATTACATTCTAGTTTCACTACTACCCCCTATCACCCCCACTAATATCGTAGTTTCCACCCACTACGTTAAATTCGTTCTTGAGCCTTTTAATTTATTCATCTGTTGACGTAATACCTTATTCAATATCTCAACTACCGTTTCCTCTCTATGACTAGCGGACTTGCTACTATATCACGTGTGAATCATTAATTGTCTCAGTTCTTCGGGTTAAATTCGGAATATGGTCACCAGTCTTAGAGGTTGGCCAGCACAGTGTGCTTTGGACCGGTGTGAGAGTAATCATCAAGAAGCCCTGAACAGACTTCATGCTTATTGGCATTTGTCAGAAAGACGTACCTGCTAAGAGGTCTGAAGCCAGGATGAAACGATGTCAGCCCGTTACCTAGAGGGAACAGGCATCTCTGAGATTCGAACATGAATCATAGGTCATCATCACTGGATTGTTCGGGCTCCTGTACTTTTGTTCACTTTATTAAATTTTTTTTTTTTCCTTCACGTTCCCCAGTGGAACATAGAGCTTCAAGCTAGTAGCTTGAAGTTTCTGTAGCAGAGTTTATTTTACAGGATGGGGTTGCTAGCCTCATGCCCAACCTTTCCTCTTTACCAGAATTATTTCTGGCTTAAAGAGGTAAAGGTGTGCATCGGCCGGGGATCGAACCCCGGACCATGTGCATGGTCGGCGAGCGTCCTAACCGCTATACCACCGACGCACTTCACTTTATTACTTCCTTTTAATGTTTTAACGTGTTTTTGTCAAGCCTAAGCCGCCTTATATTCATAAAATCAAACTCAAAATTTACAAATTAATACACAGTTTTGCGATTTACAGGGTAGAAGGAGGTTGAAATTTCATCACGGTTTCCTTTCGAAACCGACATTATTCATATCAAAGTATAAATGCCTTTTTCAATTTTGATTTTCACATCGTCATCCATGCTGTCGCCCGTAGTTGAGACGATACTTCCTAGATGAATCAGGGTGGTAACCTCATTCAAATTTCTCCCGTTGATGATGTTTAGTGCTTGTTGTATTTGACTCACTCGACTTTCGCAAACTAAAGCAAAATATGAAAATCATCGTATTTTCAACATTCGATGCTTAAAAATGAAATCATTCCTAAATACCTACGTCTACTAGCTCCAGTTCCAACGGACAGAGTTAGAAGCAGAATAGAAAGCCTACAAAAATTATGCCTGAAAGAAGAGATCCACTAAATTGGCAAAAAGTTGCAACATATCAGATATGAAATTGAGCAGTTAAAGCAAACGCTAATGGGAATAGTTACCAAGTCAATGGTGATCGATAAAACAAACAATATCCTGTTGTATTTGATTGGTTATCTTCATCTCCTCTGTTTTCTTCTATGTTCAGTTGAAGTTCTGCCTTCACTGATCACCTATCTCTTCTACTAACTTGTTGGTTTACGCCTGTAAGTCTTCAACTTTATGTGACATTAGACATAAAAGTGGTACACAACTACTTATTTCCACCAGTCAGCAGTATGTGGCATCATCTACTTTATCTAACAGATAAACCTTGGAATCCAGAATGTGCAGTACTGGGTCATTTATGCAAAGTCCAGATGTGTAAACTCTTTTGTGATCAACTTCACCGATTACCTCATAGAATATAGATTAGAGATAAAAATCATAGTCACAAACCTGATTAAAAAATTCCGCCAATAATCGATTTATCCATGGACCAGCAACACTCAGAGGACGTGCTTCATTTGAAATGTCAGATATCTTTAAGATTATCATCATAACAAGATCTTTATGCGTTTTATTTGTAACCCAAGCGGGTTTTTTACTGTTGGCATCAATTTCCCAGGCAGCTTGTAGATCACTTACAACAAGCCGATTGAATTCATCGAGTATTTCATTGTGACGTGACATGTCTGTTGCTAGAATACACCTGAAAACAGAGACAAAAACATCATCATAATAAGAAAAACGGGAATTATGTTGAAAAGCATTTGAGAATATTAATAATATTTGGAGACTATTATCATGAAATAATAGAGAAGGTTTGTAGCTTAGGTGGATGATTTAGAATAAGCTGTGTTCTCTGACATGCTGGTTGATTTAGTTGCGAAGCTGTCGTCCCTCTCCTAGACAGCATCCCCCTCAAGCGCAAGTTTTAGCATAAACTGATTTGAATTCTCCATGAATGACAGAATTATGTCTCCTGTCAACATTCTTCGTAACTGGTAACCGATTTACATCCCTACTGATGATTTTTTTTATTGGGTTGGAATTTGAAGTTTCTTGTCACGTATAAAACTTGGGCACACAGTGTTGTACAGTTAATATAACTGTACAACACTGTGTGTGATTTATCAAAATAAAATCTTATCCATAATGGAGTTATACTCTAGCACAGTGCCCAAGTTTTATACTTGTATCAATGATACTTATGGTCTTCCTACTAGGAAGCTTATCAATAAACTCACACGGCTTAGTCGAACTGAAACAGGATTCACAAATCATCGGATTTTTAACAGTCGATGTTTAAAAAATCACATAATTCCGAAATATTTACGTCTACGTGCTCCAATTACTTCAAGCAAAATAACATCGGCAGTGGAACATGTAAGTAGATTATGTCTAAGAGAAGAACTACATGGAATTATTGTGAAACTAAATAATATACTAAATGAAATCGAAAAACTCAAACAGAAACTCAAATGTATGGTCAATGACAAAGATTATGTAATCGTTGTCGAAACATCTGAAAAAGTTAGACAATCAGTCTTAAGAAAATCAAAAACCACACAAATCAAAAAATTCAACAAACTAATGGAAGAAAAGAACACAATAAATGAAACTGACGTCAGCTTTTCTTGTCACGTGAATTAATTTTTATCAATTGGTAAATTTGGTCTATAATAATGTGTTTGTTAGTCGCTGGCTGATTCGCTTGAATACTAGTCTCCTAGAAATTCTCTGGACTTTTTGGTGTTTCTTCTATTCAAAATTTCTACACTATCCTGATCATACTGGTGTCCATAAGTATTTGCATGCATTGATATGAAAGAATATATGTTATGCCTTTTGACAGCTGATTTGTGTCCTTGTAATCGAATTCGAAGGGAACGCCCACTTTGGCCGATGTAATGTCTTTTACAGTCCATACAATTTACTTTGTAGATGGTATTAATTTGATCTTAATTTCTGTGAGAATTTGGTATGAATCTTGCTGAATATCCGCTTTGTTGTGTCTGGACTCCGGATGTATCGGATCCGAGTGGCAAGGAATTTAATTAAATTTCATTTTCGTTCAGTAGGTACCCAACTGTAGGAACTTGTTAGATGACGGTTCCAAGGGGGTTCCCTATGGACCCTATCTTTCTTCAGGGTTGCAGACACGCCTTGCTGACAAACGTCAACTAGCACGAAACCTAGGTCCAAAGCTTCCTACCGATTACCTCCAACCATATAAAACCAATAACTCACAGTTCACCGTGACGGCCAGCCACCTAAAATTGTGGCCACATTGCAAACTTGACTGTCAGAATTCAGTCTTCACAGAACAAAAGACTAGACACACTACACTGGTAGCTGGCTAGTGTCCAGTCAAAAAATTATTAAAGTATCATTAGACCAGAATTTACGAAATCTCAGCTTATTAACAATAAAATCAATTATTCCCCGTTCTATAACATAGGGTAATTTATACGTCGTCAAGTCGGTCAATTGGTAAAGATAACAAAACCAGGTGTAGACTGTTGGATTTCGTATGAGTATGAAATCAAAAAAGCACTACGAGTTCACATAATGAAACTGTTAATCACATTCATTTTGAATTTATTATTTCATGGGAGAAGGGCAGTCCATCATTCCTATTCAAACAATTTGCATTCCATTTGATATGAAATGCTTCTGATGATATTAGACGATATTTGTGATTATACAATTAGTGGATGGTGGCTAGCAGTGGAATCCAGGATGCGCATTTCGTCCTATTCGGGACTTGTCAGCTGGATGTACCTGTATTTCTCAGTGAGTGATGATGTTCCCACCGAGGCTCGAACCCAGTACCCATAGTTTCAAACGCCAAAGCGTTATCCACTAGACCACTTGGGCCACGAGAGCCACCTCTTGTGCAACGGGTCATCCAGATGACGAGTCCCAAATAGGACGAAATGCGCATCCTGGATTCCACTGCTAGCCACCATCCACCAATTGTACACCAATTAAATACCCAGACATCGTCGAAGCATCTGCACAAGAAGCCGACATGTCAACCCGAGACCGAGCACTTCGGTCCAATCAGTCGACGGGAAAATCAAAATAATTCAATTCAATGATATTTGTGATTTCTGAAATATTTCTGGATGATTTTAATACTGAAAACAAATCACGTAGTTCATCGAAGAGTCTCTTTTCGGCGGCGAATTCACTGTATTATCTATGCAATCGCACATATATATGTGTTATATTATATGTATGTGTACATTAAGTTTGTCAAACAAAAATGCAATTGGTTATGGTTATTTTAACTAAACAGGTGAAGATTGGTAATTGGAGTTACGTAATACAAAATCAGTCAAGAAAATTAGGTGTTAATGAAATAGGGTAGTAACAAAGATGATGAGTTGTCACAAACAGTTGTTAAAAGAAGTTATGTAATAATATGAATAGTTTGATGAGTGAGTTGTACTCAGGACGCATATAGAAATAAAGTAAAGGATACGAAATTACGTAAGAGTTGTAAATGAATACAAGAATTATAAGCAATTAAAGAAACAGGCAAACAAAAAAAATGAAGTCATCAAGAATCAACACAGTTGTTACCATGACAGTAGAAGTGGTTGAGTAATTCTCTTTTGTATGCACAGCTCCGGTTTTTCTACGTGAATGCCCAGAGATTCGGTGATACGAAGAAGACGAAACCATATTGCCTTTGGTAGGTTATTCTTGACTCTGTGGATTACTTTGAAGCAGGAGGCGTTTGTTGAGATGAAATGATCGGTGTGTAAACGAGGTGTTTAATTATCGTACTCCTTATTGCACCACTAGTGCCTTTTCACAACCATACCAGCTGGATAGTTTTCTTGAATCCTTGTGGACAGGATGCGCGTCAAACAACCGATGTACCACAGCAGCTCCACAGCAGCAGGTGAACAGATATATGCATGTATAAAAATCAGTTTTGTGGTCTGATTCTAAAATGCATGTGGACATACGGTTGATGATTTTTCAAACTTTTTTAGCTCAGAGTATTATCAATTTCTCATAATTTCATACGCCTATTAAATCCAACAATCTACACATGATTTTGTTATGTTTAACCATTGGCCAAGTTAACGACAACATTAAAATTACTTCAGGCTAAAGAACGATGACTCATTATTAGATTTTACCGGAAATAAAAGAAATATTTCACGAAGACTAATTATTATTATTATTGTTCCCTTGGGTTCCTAGTGGAACACAGAGCTTCAACTACACGTCTCCACTTGCCACTTCTGTCTTCCTTCTGCTGTACTTTTCACCTGCATCCATCCATGTTAGTTCATAAAGTTTCAACTGCTCCTCCCCTTCACACGAACTCCTCCATATCACCCTTGCACTGACATCTCACTCGCCGCTTCCCTTTCGGCCTGGTTCCACTCGAGCAATGGCCTGACGCGCGCGTGATGTCACCCAGCGGCCTTCTCACTGAGTGTCCATCTCAATCCATCTCCAGTTCCTCCTCCATATTTGTTGGGCAATTGGTTGGTTCTTGTTTTGTTTGTTTGTTCCCATAGTTTCTTGTTTCCTGTTGCTGATTTTTCCGGCCGGCCATCTGATCTTCAGTATAGATCCAGCGAAGACAGTTGTTGATGAAGGTCCGATCTGCAATAGCCTGTTGGAAATATACTTTGTGACCCACCCGCCAAGTTTCTGATCCGTATACAAGAGCTGACTGACTTGACGTTTGTACTGAAAATTCGACTGAATTTTGTTGTTGATGCTGGCTGAGTGACGAAGATTTCCAGATTGGTTGTTTCAGGTTGATGAATGTGTGTGTTTGTCGCCTTCTCGATTCTCGCTCGATTTGACATCCTCGTCGGTTCCTCTGGCCTGTTGTTGAGACAATGCTCAACGCTAGATAAATGAATGAAGTGGCCTCTTTCAAATCCCTCCCGTTGGTGGTGATTGGTACTGGATGGTGATGCTGCTGTTGTTGTTGTTGGTTGATTGGTTATTTTCATAACCTCCGTCTTGTCTATGTTCACATAGAGTCCCGTCTTCGCCGGCTGCTTCTTCGACCATTTTGTCGGTTTTCGCTTGTAAGTCTTCGATTTTGTGTGACATCAAACATAAATCTTCTAGGTTCTTCACGTCGATCCAGGATATTCCTGTCTTCTGGTTTCCTACTGTCTGTCGCATAATCAAGTCCACCACAATTAGGAATATCACTGGTGACAATAAGCAAGCACCCCTGTCTGACTCCTGTGTTTATTTCAAACGCCTCGCTGAGTTTCCCTTTGTGAATCACTTGACATGTGCCGTTGTCGTACAGCTATTGAATAAGGTTGATGAATATTTGGGGTACGCCGTAGTACTCGAGTATTTTCCAAATTACTTAGTGGTCAACGGTGTCGAAGGCCTTCTCAAAATCTATATAGTTGAGGTAGGGGTTTGATTACCATTGCATGCCTTGTTCGATGATGATGCGTAGAGTTGCGATTTGGTCAGAGCATGATTTGCCTTTCCTGAATCCAGCTTGTTCTGGTCCGAATTCTGTAACCAGTGCGTCCTTTAATCTCTCCAGGATGATGCAACTCAGGATTTTACTTGGCGTCGATAGAAGCATGATTCCTTGCCAGTTCTTGCAGAGTCCTAAGTCTCCCTTCTTTGATAGTTTCACGAGGTAGCCTTTCCTCCAGTCAGTAGGCACCTTTTCCTCCTTCCAAACCTTTTGCAATAATGGAGTCAGCATGTCTGCTGTAGTCTCTGGGTTCACTTTGAGTGCTTCAGGGGGTATTCCATCTGGTCCAGCTGCTTTTCCAGCTTTCAGAAGCTTGATTGCATTCAAGACTTCAGCTTTTATTGGAGGATTGATGTCAACTTGCAGTTGTGTACGCGCTGTTGTTGGTATTTGTGGACGGGTTGCAGGTGATGGTTGGTTCAAGAGTCCTTTGAAGTGCTCCGCCCATTGTTTAATCTGTCTTTCTTCCTTGAACGTTACCGTATATAAACTGAGAGTTTGTAAATTCTGGTCTGATGATGTTTTAATAAAGTTATTAGTGGTATTAAGTAGTGAAACGTCAGCAAAATCAATATCATTTTGTTTTTCATTCATTTGTAAATATAAAAAAACCTTTATAATACTGAATATTATATACCCAATGCCCAAATATTTTTCAAGCTGTTAAAAAGGAACCTGTTTTGGACACATATGGCTAGTCAGTTGCCACTTACAGTTAGCCTGTTATATGTATGTGGCCTTAATTCAAAAGCCTCTCTTATGTCTTCTAATTTAGGCTAGTTTGTGTTTGGGAGAAAACGGTAATGAGTTATTGACGAAAAGATGTCATTCTTAACGATGCGTGTCTATCAATGAATGGTTCTGTCTCTTTAAGCAACTTCATATAAATGTGATTGATTGTTTCCTGTTTCGGATAAGTGATTTTCAACTGATGGATATTTTTCCAGAGAACACTTTCCGTCATATTCTGACCAAATGATTGTTATGGTTGAATTGTTCCGCACAACAACACAGTAAGCATAGTCCATGATAATGTTTAATCTTGATACGACGTTTAATTATCGTTTACATACGTATATAAACTATTAATATTATTATTAGCGTCGGAACAAGATGGTTTTGAGTGAACAGTTTTTTTCAATAACTTCTTCTCCAGGTTCTACAGTTATAAATCCATCGATATTAGCAGACAAATAGTCATTAAGAGCACGTGGAAATTATGTGAGAAACTTTACTGTGAGGTACATGTATAATATGGAGTGATAGTTCTTTCGTTACTTAATATTGTCGAATGAACGTGTATAAAGTGTGCAGTCATACAGAACATAACATAAAGTGTGAATAGACAAAAGGATGACATACTAATGTATGTATGTGTGTATATTAAATAGAATACAAGTTTCATTGGAGGTAGGGGTGAGAGTGAGTTATATTCAATCGTGTGCAAGGGAAATCATTACTCATAAGTAAAAACACAGTTTTTGTTCAGCGAAGAAATTTCTTTTCAACGACTTCATTTTCAAGCTGTACAGTCGTATTTATATTACAGAAAAAGGTTATTAAGTGGCACTAAATAATTGCTCAGTCAATGTACGTATATGTGATAAAAGTTATAAGGGGTAGAGTTGAAGTGGATAAATTACAAACATATGAAAGATTATTCTATAACAAAAATGTCAAGTGTTGTCTAAAAAATTATGAAAATTAGGAGTACGATTACGATAAGAATGAAGATGTGAAGTGAAGTGGAAAGAATTCAAGTGGTAAAATAAAATAAAAACTAGAAAGAAAATTATTATGACCAAGGTAAAGAAAGGGGTTTGACAAAACGCTTTTGAACACATAATTTAGGTTTCTGTTCATGTATAGCTAAAGCTTCGGCTATGCATAAGTGAAGAAAACGTAAACTTTTGGAGTGGTTCGATTTAGCCATGTATAAAACTTTGAAGGATGAATCACGTGGGGCTAAATGACCACACTCTAACAGGTGATCACAGATAGACGACTTTGCAGTTCTACGTTCGCCTTTCATTAACCAAACCGGATAGTGTTCAGCTACACGTTTTCGGAGATTACGCTTACAACGTCCAATATAAACAGCTCCACAAGAGCAAGTAAAAGAATAACTGCACATAGATGTGGACAAAAGCGGTAACCTATCCTTGACGCATTGTCTAATCATATTTCGGCTGGTAAAAACTAGATGCAAGTCAGCTGCAGGAAAAGTACGTTTAATACATTTAGATAAACGATTTTTAATCAATTCTGAAATGGTGTCACCTTTGAATGCAAGACTCATAAACAGCTTTTTCTTTGGTACTGTGACTTGTCTCGGGGTGGATTCTTTCTTGATGTTACGTTCAATGAACCTTGTGGGATAATACGACTGTACAGCTTGAAAATGAAGTCGTTGAAAAGAAATTTCTTCGCTGAACAAAAACTGTGTTTTTACTTATGAATATATGGGTATTTTTCGAGATTTAAAGGCGTGCAAGGAAATCATTACCGCAAAATGCATACAAACAAATATCAAAAATGGGGAACAGTGAATGCTTTTGAAGAGTTGATCATGGATTGATATCAGTTAGAGAACTATTAAAAACTAGCACTGGAGTACTGGACAGCTGTTCCATCCTAGTTCGGGAACCATCGGCAGTACGCACCCATTGCCGGGGTTCGAACCCAGGACCTTCCAGTTACAAGGCAAGCTCCTATACCATTCAACCACTGGAACCCGATTCAGTGTCTCATGAATTCTAACTTCTACGAATGAGTCACTGATTCAGGTCCCAGTGGCTGAATGGTATAAGAGCTTGCCTTGTAACCGGGAGGTACTGGGTTCGAACCCCTGCAATGAGTGCGTACTGCCGATGATTCCCAGACTAGGATGAAACACCTGACTATCCATTACTCCAATACTGGTTTTCAATGGTTCTCTAACTGATATCAATCTGTGATCAACTCGTAAAAAAACAAAAGTAATCCGTACAAACCAACTATACAGAACACTGAATGCACTTTATACAATTTTAGATTATCCCATCGATTGAATGGACCGAAGTGCTCGGTCTCAGGATGACTTAAAAATCGTCCAAGCACTGAATGTAATATATCAAGTGTAGTGATTAAATAAAATGAAGAGGTGAAGTTGTGAATTGCAACAAATTACTAGAGACATTATAAGCTTAATGTAAATGAAGTCGTTGAAAAATAATTTCTTCGCTGAACAAAAACTGTGTTTCTACTTATGAATAAATGGGTATTTTTCGAGATTTAATGTAAATTAGAAAGGTTGACATATAATAAGGATAATATTGGAGTGAAGTAAACCAGGTGAAAAGGAATAAGAAAGGCATAATATGACATGAAAATGTGAGATAACTACGTCCCTGATGACCTTACAGTAGATCAGGGAAGACAAGAACGATGAATGTGCTTTTTCTGCATTAACAGGTCAGCCTCAGCTATAGCTCTTGTTACAGAATTTCATCATGAGCTAACATCAGTCAGAGAACCATTGAAAAACCAATCAGGGAGTACTGGACAGTTGTTTCGTCCTAGTTTGGGACTCTTCAGCAGTGCACAGTACACCCAGGTTTTCCAATGGTTCTCTAAATGATTTCAGCTCATGATGAAATCTTGTAACCATTCAACTAAATCCCTACAAACCAATACTTGTATAGCTCTTCTTTTTATTCCTTTACATTTCAGTGGAACGGTGATTATTTCTAAAGGATGAGGTTACCTCATGCCCAATTCTCCCTCTTTACCAGTCTTAGCGAGGTAAAGGAGTGAGTCGGTGGCCGAGGATCAAACCCCGGACCACCTGCATGGTTGGCAAGCACTGTACGTAATGCCACTGACGCACAAATAGGAGTGCATCGGCTAGAGCTAAGAGATGTAATCGAGTGCCCTGAGGCAAACTATCTAATGAGTTGTTCGTTATCCATTAGATGAGATAAAATGATACTGTTTATTGACTTGGTTACTCCTTTTCGAAACCAGAGAGGAACATGTCCATGAGTTCAACCTAAATAACTAGCTCCACATGAGCAGTTGAACTTGTGTGCACACAGTGATGTGGCCGTCTTCGAAGATTTGTCTTTAATGATACCTTGATATTCTTTTTCACAAGTGAAGTGAACACTGAGAAATGAAACACTATTTCACTTGATTACTCTCCCTAGATCGATAGTGTCGATGGCACAGAGGTTAGGACGCTCGCCGACTATGCACATGTTCCGGGGTTCGATCCCCGGCCACAGACGCACTCCTTTATGCCGCTAAGCCAGAAATAATGCTGGTAAAGAGGAAAGGTTGGGCATGAGGCTAGCAACCCCATCCTGTAAAAATAAACACTGCTACAGAAACTTCAATCCACTAGCTTGAGGCCCTATGTTCCACTGGGAACGTGAAGAAAAAAACTCTCCCTAGATCGGGTCCCAGTGCCGGAACAGTCTATGACCTCGTCTTGTAACCGTAAAGTCCTGGGTTCGAACACCGGTCAGAGCGTACTACTGAAGAGTCCCAAACCAGAAAAGACAGTAATCAACTGCTTCTCGGTCTTCCGATTGTTCTGGGACTGATGTTATCTCGTGCTCAAACGTGTAACTTATCGAATCCCTTCAAACCAACCGTCAACAACACCACGACCATGAAAATGCTAACAGACTAGTGTGAGAAATAGGCACTTCGTCAGTCCAAAAAGTGCTAATACATGATGAGATACCCTCGGTTGTAGAATAGAAGTTAAAGATAAAATTTATTTGAAAATAACGAGAATTAGCAATGATGACGAATATTATGGATAACAAAACAGTCAACCATACCTTATCATTCCTTTACGAATCCGTTGACGGACATTAAGTGGAAGATGGGCGAAAGGATCAACTTCCGCATGACTTAATAAATCGAATGCCACTGCTGAATGATGATTTTCTAATGGACTTTGATCGTTATATCGCATAGCTAATACAGTCCCAGCATTGATCTGAATAGTAAAAATAAATAAATAAATAAAACAAAGGTACACGTCAATAGAGACAGAAACTACAAAATCATTCGATTACAAGACGAAAATAAGATTTTACGATGGAAGTGAGTATAGGATTGATATGACAAATCCATGAATACAAAATTAATAAGTTTTTATACAATCTTAAAATGACACATTTTACTATTTTTCTGTCAAAGTACAAAAGGGTTGATCTAAACTCTGTGGACTCAAGTAAACGGCCGTCATAATGACCTCGATCAGTCGGTTAGATGAGTCCATAGTGAATTCACGGAAACACGTATGCCTGTATTTCAGGACTGTAGAGATAATGAACATCTAGTAAGCAATAAAACAAGTGGACATGCCAACGTAATGTCTTTACAAAGATATGCAGCCGTTGTTTATCAATATATATATATATATATATATATATATATATATATATATATATATGCGTATGTCCGGATCGTCGTTGCAGAAAATTCGTCCAAGTAGGTATATCTTTCCTCTTTTAATTCCATTGGTGTTGTAGAGCAGTGAACAGGTTGTAAAACAGGATGAACTATCACTGAAGATTTCAGTACGGAACTGAAAGACATTTTTGGAATACACCCGAGAATGCTTCTCTATATAACTATTTTCTAAAACTAACTTTGATTTTTTTAAAGACATTGGTGGATGGATGCTGATCAGTGTTATTACGAGGGTAGTTCGTTTCGGTTACTATATATATATATATACAAAAATTTCGGGGAAATTTTTTTTCAAAAGTGTTCATCATCTATCTACTTCAAGACCTCTATTTATGCCATACTCTAGTGTCATCATTGCAGAAAGATAGACTAGAATTAAGTCTAAAGGATATTTCATCAGGAACCAACATAAGTTCAAAAAATCTTGAAAAGCACAGAGCACTGGATATGGAAACTTCAGATGCGTTCACCAAAGACCAATTCCAAAATCTTCACATTACGAGGTGGGTCTACTACCACTCCGTTTATACTGGTAGAAAATCAGCAGCGAGGACTAGTCTTTACACCTGACTTAGTGAACCCAACCGGCCATCACTTCCTAGTCCATCACAAAAATTCGAATCAGTTATTAGTTATATGTCCTTCTGTACTATCGTTTATTCAGCCCTACCGTTGACATTTTATTATGTTGAAAAAAGTTTCCACCCCTCTGAAGGTGAAAGTTCTTTAGTGATTGATTATCTTATTTATTTCAGACGAGCTTCAGTTTCACAGCAATAACGAGTATGTGAAACACAAAACCAATTTCATTTCATTCAGCTGCCGAAATTAGAAATTTATTAGTCTCATAGTTTGCTTCCTTATAGGAACACTGGAAAAACCCCAATGAATAAGACCTTATTAGGTTGAATAAATCAAAATGAAGAAATTCATCGTGTACCTAGCACATTTGTTTATTCATTTAAAGTAATTGTAATCAGTGAAGAACGGTTTTTGTAGTCATGGGTATCATAGAGAATTCTATATCCTCTACTTTTATTGTCTCCGTTCACCCAGTCAGTTGTCAACATTGGTTATAGGCTTTCACCATGAGCTGACATCAGTTATAGAACGACTGGAAAACCAACCAGGAAGTAGTGGACAACTGTTTTGTCAGCCTAGTCTTGGTCTCTTTAGCAGTACTTTCCCGCCACCAGGGGTTCTAACTGAGGACCTTCTGGTTACAAGACGAACTCAAAGACCATTAAGCCACTGGAACCCAATCCAATGACCCACGAGTTCCAACTTCTGCCAATTTACATTATAGCGCGACCGCTTGCCAGTGTATTAGGCGAGTATTTGTCCTCATGCCCGACCTGCTGTACCATACTGGTCACGACTTCCCACTAGAACCCTATCATCGTCATTATTATTGGCAATAATAAAAAGTGTTCCTCTCATTCAAGAAGAAATAATACTGAAAGTTGACAAAATTTAGAGTTCAGTGAATTTTCAAGTGATTATTTTCCACTCAACTGGGGTTGTGTATTCGCCGCACACATTTACATAATTAACTTTTCAAAGAGTCAGTTTACATGGAATTCATTTATTCCAAATTTGACCACAGGTTAATATCAGTTAGATAATGTTTAAAAACCAACAGGTACTGGGCAGCTGCTTCGTCACAGTTTGAGAATCTTCAGAAGTACGCATCCATGACTCCCCTCCCGCAGGGATTGAACTCAGAACCTTCATATTACTCAGTGAGCCCGTTATAATTAAACCACTGGGACGAGATCCAATGACCAATGTATTCAAAATTCTGTCATTTCGCAACTTTTAAAGCAACCGCCAGGCAATTTCATCTATGAGTAGTTGTCCTCACACACGACCTGATGGACACCTCCGGTCACAACGTCTCTCAAGAGCTTCAGGAAGCTTCGTCCCCTAGAAAGTCACTTATTATTATTGTTCCCTTGGGTTCCTAGTGGAACACAGAGCTTCAACTGCACGTCTCCACTTGCCACTTCTGTCTTCCTTCTGCTGTACTTTTCACCTGCATCCATCCACTTTAGTCCATACTGTTTCAACTCCTCCTCCACTTCACACGATCTCCTTCTTGTCACCCTTGCACTGACGTCCCACTCGCATATACCCTTTCGGCCTGGTTCCACTCGAGCAATGGCCTGACGCGCGCGCGATTTCACCCAGCGGCCTTCTCACTGAGTGTCCATCTCCATCCATCTCCAGTTTCTCCTCCATATTTGTTGGGCGATTGGTTGGTTCTTGTTTTGTTTGTTTGTTCCCATAGTTTCTTGTTGGTGATTCTTTCCGACCCGGCCATCTGATCTTCAGTATAGATCCAGCGAAGACAGTTGTTGATGAAGGTCCGATCTGCAATAGCCTGTTGGAAATATGCTTTGTGACCCGCCCGCCAAGTTTCTGATCCGTATAGAAGAGCTGACTGACTTGACGTTTGTACTGAAAATCCTACCGAATTTTGTTGTTGATGCTGGCTGAGTGACGAAGATTTCCAGATTGGTTGTTTCAGGTTGATGAATGTGTGTGTTTGTCGCCTTCTCGATTCTCGCTCGATTTGACATCCTCATCGGTTCCTCTGGCCTGTTGTTGAGACAGTTCTCAATGCAAGATAAGGAAATGAAGTGACCTCTTTCAAATCCCTCCCGTTGGTGGTGATTGGTGCTGGATGGTGATGCTGCTGTTGTTGTTGGTTGGTTGATTGGTTATTTTCATCACCTCCGTCTTGTCTATGTTCACATGGAGTCCTGTCTTCGCCGGCTGCTTCTTCGACCAGTTTGTCGGTCGGTTTTCACTTGTAAGTCTTCGATTTTGTGTGACATCAAACATAAATCATCCACGCGCGAAATCCAGGTCTTCTAGGTTCTTCACGTCTATCCAGGATATCCCTGTCTGCTAGTTCCCCACTATCTGACGCACAACCCAGTCCACCACAGTTAGCAATATCACTGGTGACAATAAGCAAGCACCCTTGTCTGACTCCTGTGTTTATTTCAAACGCCTCGATGAGTTTTCCGTTGTGGTGTTTGGAGTCACTAGTTGTCATGAAATTAGCTTTGAAGAGTTAGAGTTGGCCGAGTGGCATACTAGATTGCCTCATAACGCAAACGTTCTGGTTTCGGCCTCCAGTGAGGTCCGAAACTAGAACAAAATACCTCTCCATTACTCTAATGGTTTCCTAACTGACATTAATCTATGACAAATCAAATTTCTGCACACTAACACTTGAAAGTTAATCTGACGCCTGCTAGTGACTGGCTACAGGATGAATTTGCCTGAAGTTCTAGTTCTAGTGGGAAGTCGTGACCAGTGGGATCCGTCAAGGACAAGTACACCCTGAAGATATTGGCTGGCGTTTGCGCTAAAATAGCTTAACTATTTCATTCAACTGCCATATCCATTACAATACTTGTAAATCTGCCTGTCTACTCTCCTACTCCCAACCACCTGGCACACAAGAAGAGCAAATTTACCTCAGATTATGTAACAAACAAAATCTGTCTCTCTCTCTCATTCTCTCGCTTTTATTGAAATGTATTTCGTTTTCATCACGCTAGTTGTTATTCTTAAAAGTAACCTTTAAATTTAATTATCATTATTATTATGTCATAATTTAATTTACTCTGTATACGAGTAAAATGAATCTAGTATTCCGGATGTTAAAGTGAATGAGTAAAAAAAAGAACTACTGGTGGAATAGGACGGGAAAATTATTAGTATTATTATTAATATGAGAAGTCTGTAGATCTTCACATTTCTGGTGTTTCACATTACGTTAAATGGACTGACAGGATACTTACTGATTACCAGTAGCTGACCTGGATTATTTGTTCAACATTAATTAGTATGAAGAACCTTATAAAGCGAGAATTATATATATATATATATATATATATATATATATATATGGGAGTCTAGAATACAATTTGCTATCCCGAACACTGGCGGAATACTCTACATTGTATAATAGTATATCACATAGGCAGGTTTAATAAAATTCCAACTAGAGATATCTATCTGTATAGTCGTTTGTACCAGAAGACGGAGATTATCTGAAAAATATTTTGATATATATGTGTACAGTACATTGCAGTGCACTTCGAAAAACAATCTGATCACACATACCTCTACTTATCAACTCCATTATTGATAGGATTTTATTTTAACAAATCACACAGTGTGTTGTACTGTAATATTAACTGATGACCACATTTAGAGCACAAACTATTGCTCATAATCATGTAAAGTCACTCAATCACACAACTCTCTTGCTACATTTATATACATGTGTGGAATCGATTAGATATTGGAATAAATAAATATAGGATAATTTACATTCATAAATAATAATATGAGTGTTATAGATCGCGTCGGTGGCATAGCAGTTAGGACGCTCACCAACCATGCACATATTCCGGGGTTCGATCCCCGGCCACAGACGCACTCCTTTACGCCGCTAAGCCCGAAATATTGCTGGTAAAGAGGAAAGGTTGGGCATGAGGCTAGCAACCCCATCCTGTAAAAATAAACAATGCCACAGAAACTTCAAGTCACTACCTTGAGGCCCTATGTTCCACTGGGAGCGTGAAGAAAACAAATTGTGTCATAGATCCATTGCAATCACATGGGAAATAAGACGATTGTTTGTATAGTCAAAATAAGTAACTTGTTAGAATTAGTATACAATTGGTGGATGGTGGCTAGCAGTGGAATCCAGGATGCGCATTTCGTCCTATTTGGGACTCGTCAGCTGGATGTACCTGCATTTCTCAGTGAGTGATGGCGTTCCCACTGAGGCTCGAACCCAGTGCCCATAGTTTCAAACGCCAAAGCGTTATCCACTAGACCACTTGGGCCACGAGAGCCACCTCTTGTGCAACGGGTCATATTAATCATTGAATTGAATTTTTGATTTTCCCGTCGATTGATTGGACCGAAGTGCTCGGTCTCAGGTTGACATGTCGGCTTCCTGTGCAGATGCTTCGACGATGTCTGGGTATTTAATTAGTGCAGGTACATCCAGCTGACGAGTCCCAAATAGGACGAAATGCGCATCCTGGATTCCACTGCTAGCCAACATCCACCAATTGTACACCAATTAAATACCCAGACATCGTCGAAGCATCTGCACAAGAAGCCGACATGTCAACCTGAGACCGAGCACTTCGGTCCAATCAGTCGACGGGAAAATCAAAAATTCAATTCAATAACTTGTTAGAATGTTGTGATGTATGTGAATTGAAATAGAATTTTAAGTTTATTTATTATCCTCCTCGGATTTGACTGACTGGCTGGTGGTAATTATATCTTCCATGCATATCTCTGGTATTTGCAGAGAACCACTTCTACTGAATGTGTTGTTTTGAGTGTAGACTCAATGAACTAGGATCCAGTAATCAATATCTCTCACTCTCCACCTACCTATATTACTTCTTAGAATTTTAAACCTCTCCCACCAGCCTATTGTGTGGTTGCGTGTTAATGCATGCAACGCAATCGTTGAGCCTTTTTCTATATTACTTATCTTCTCGGGGTCAGCCATTCTTACCTTAGCCTAATTCTCATGATCCGACAATCTGACTACCCCCGACCTCCTAGTTTGACGTATGTGGTTGACTTAACTCACAGTCATTGCAAGGTATTTTTTAAATTATATTATTTTGTTTAATTGGGTCCACTAGGTCCTTTAGCCTACAGAACATGTCTCTGAGTGAGATTTTGGGTTTGAATGCCACCTTAATTCCTACTTTGTTGAGAATGCCACGTAGGGTCTCAGATGTCCCCTCCCTATATGGTACAACTATAGATGCCTTATATTCTCTCTTATCTACGTTATCATTACTAGTTTCGCCATTATTTTTAGTATGCTTTTCACCTTTTTTGATATTCCTAATGAATTGTATAGGATAGTTAGTTATTCAGCACCAACGCTTCTTCCTCTGTCTGTTTCATTTCATCATTCAGGTCTTTTCTTGTACTACTTGGTGCAGCCGCTCGGTTTGTGATACACTTAACTAAGCCAGCCTTTATAGACAACGGATGAGATGAATTAAAGTCTAAACATCTATTAGCAGAATGCCTTCGCTTTCTATAAACGCTAGTGTGCTGTTTATCTTCTATTCTTTTTGTCTTACAATCTAACATAGCTAATTCTCCTTGTTCATTTTCCGATTCAAATGTGAATTTTATTCTCTCCATGGTGAGTTTATGTTTGTCAGGAAGCTAGAAACATGTTCTGTTTCTAACACTGTGAAGGTGTCAGCCACATATCTTCACCATATTATTTTTAGGAGTAGGATTAAATGTATTAAGAGCAATATTTTCTCAACTGTCCACAAACATATCTGCTACGATAGGAGATATAGGTGATTATATTGCTACACCTTCTGTCTGTCTATATGAATTGCCTTGGAATTTAAAGATAGTAGATGTGATGCATAACTGAATCCCTTAAATAATTTGTTCAATGGGCAGCTTTGTCCTATGATTGAGTTTAGGATCTGCAGTTAGTTCATTTTTGAATGCTTCTGAGACCATACTGGTTGGTATATTACTACAAGGATTAGTTACATCAAAACTGACCATTATTTCCTTATTCTGTAATTAAATGTTATTTAGTTTCTTTTTCATCTCATATGAATTAGTTAGCTTAGAGTTTGAACGATGCTAATGGAACATATTATTAGAGGTAAGTGTTTTGATAATTCATAAGTAGGTATATTCCTGAAATCTACTTGTCAAGTGGATTTTTATAAAAAATAAAGGGCAATTAAAATCAACACAGTGATAAGAGTTTTAAGAATAAGGAGTGTCTCTGTCTGTCTCTTTAGCTTCCATTTGTTGTTTGTTGCAATTTCCTTCATATCTAGTATAAGCGTTGCATCAACACAGATGTAAAGTCAGTCACTTCTTCTATACGGGTCGGAAACTTACACTGGGCTTCATGGAAGGAATTTCCAACAAACCACTTCAGACTTTTCTCAACAGCTACCACCTTCGCTGGCCGGTTGGCTAGTTGGCTTTATACTGAAGATCAAATGGCCAGTCCGCTGACTGGTCACAAAGAATTAGCAGCAAGAGGAAACTCTGGTCAACTCGTAACAAACCAGCAAGCAACAGCAAAGTGCTCAACAAAAATTTAGGAGTTTGCCTTGCAACCGGAAGGTCCTGGGTTCGAACCCTGGCAGTGGGTGAGTACTGTCGATGATTCCCAAACCGGGATGAAACAGCTGACTGTCCAGTACTCCAGTGCTGGTTTTAATGGTTCCCTAACTGATATTAATCAAATCTAATCCTTAAAAAACAACTATTGGAAATTAAACTGATGCTCGCTAGTGACTTACTACAGGATGGCGTTTCCTGCAGTTGTAGTGAGACATTGTGACCAGTGAGGTCCAGCGAGTCAAGTATGAGGATGGATTTTCTGCCGATGATATTGGTTAGTGAACGCTCTAAAGTGACGAATTGATAGAAGTTGGAATTCATGCTCCGGTCACTGAATCGGGTTCAAGTGGCCACATGGTATACGAACTTGCCTTGTACCCGGAATGTTCTGGGCTCGAACCCTGGCAGTGAATGCGTGCTGCCCAGTATTCCCTGGTTTTCAATGGTTCTTTAACTGATAATAATCTGTGATCAAACTCGTTAACAATGAAGGTGAAAATGGAGACGGATTGACCAGGCATACGCTACTGAGGAGGCCGTCGAATGACATCGCGCTCAATGCAGGCCATCACTTGAGTGGGATCTCAATGGGAATTGATGAGTGCATTGTCAGTGAGAGAGTAACATGGAGGAGATCGTGTAGCGAGTTGAAGGAGACGAGAGGTTATGGGGAATCGTGGCGCTAACCAGCTGAAGAGGACGGCAGAGAATAGGACAAAGTGGAGTTGTGTTGTTAAAGGCCTATGTTCCACTCGAGTCCCAAGCGAATAATACTTATATTATATAATAAGGCTAAGAAACATATGTCTTGGTGACTAAATACAAAAGAATTAGACACACGGTGTCAAATATATATATACATATACTTACGGATACTGAAAATAAGTATTAGAAATACATACAGATCACAAACGACAATAAAAACAACAGAAGCGACGAAAAGTACATTGACAAACAGATAATAATATTCACTGATAAAAAATGGTAGTTATAATGTCTAATCTCCACCCCCTCCCCCACTCTATACACCTTATTTTTCAACAGTTCCCTATTCTCTTCCCTCTAGCCTCCAGCCTACCAGCCTCTGTCTCTTGTGACTTACCTGATAAGCATTATTAAATCCTGGATGATCTAAATCATGACAGATGGCCGACATAATCAAAGTGAGTTGATCATCGATATCGAGTAGTTTGGTAAGTTTTCCACCCCAGAGTAGAACGTAACACTATAATGTGAAAAACAAAACACAAGCAAACAAACACATATAATAATGTATATGTAGACACAAATGCAAGAGAAAAAAAACGTTGTAGACAGAGAGATATAAGGCGAAAGCAATACGCCTAACTGGAACTTAGTATTTTTCTTCAAACAGTAAATAAACAGAGGAAGGAAAAGAAGAAGATGAAGATATTATCAGACAAGAAAAAAGCAGGGATGAACATTATTCACAAGTAATAATCTGCAAGATAAGTGAATAAAAAGCCGTCGAGTTTTGTGATTTTTCATCATAGTGAACGTCAAGATATTCTTTAGCTTGACTTTCCTCAAGAAATATATGTACATAGGTGGTGGTTCTATGCAGGGCTTATCAAAAAATGTTAGAGAACATCATCTAGCATGGCTGCAAAGAGGAGGCACTGGTTCAATCAGAAGCACCATCACTGAATATCTCGTCGATACCTGTCACAGAATCTCGACTGACTCATCATTTAGAGTCATTTACAAAAGTCTACCAATCGCAGTGTGTTTTCGACTTCTTTGTACTGCGGAAGCCCAACTCATATGCATCGAAAAGCCAGAGCTATGAGTTCAAAAGAAACTAGTCCAGCCTTTGCAACTACCATGGACCTAGTTCAGTAGGTTCCCTTATCCTTCAGTTTTTCTTCTGTTATGTTCTCTGTGTCTGTAATTTTCTCTCTTTACCTTCATTCAATCCATCCCACTTTTTTCAGTTAGAAAATAAGTTATTTTAAGTTTGTTTCCATGCTCCTTCTGATCACACTTGTAATCCGTTTAGAATAACTATTTTACGATTATATTCTAATCCTGTGTAATTTACTGTTTATGTGCCTCTTGTAATCTATATTCATACCTCCCAACTTACATTTCAAGTTGAAAATTTTGATTTCAATTTGTTTCCATGCTCATTTTGTTCTCATCTGTAGTTCGTTCTATCCCTGTGTTTCTAAGCCTCTTGGTAATTCATATCAAGTTGAAGATTATTATCACCTTCGTCAAATAATAATCGTGTCCATGTAAACTAATGTATATAAATCAGATTGTACAGGTGTTTTTGAGATTGAAATCGCCGAAAAGGTCACCATCTTTCCTGAACTTCTTGTTCTTTTCAATAGAAATATATGAGTCCACATTCCATGATTTCATTTTATCAGAGTGTGCTTTACACTCTGTGTAACCTTATTGTTGAAAGCAGATTCCACCTCATGAAGTTTGAGGAAATCAATCCGGCAGCAGGTTGATCTCCTCCCTTTACAAAAGCGCTTTGATTTCAGAAACTTTTATTATTATAAACTTGAAGAAAGCAAGAACAACAAATGTACTAGGATGACATGAGCTAGCCGTTTTTCTATTATTTCGAGGATTCTTCTCACCCGACTACAACCTGAACAATCTGGACGCGTCTCGAATAGCCTGCGTCTCAAGGAAACTAAAGATTACAATAGTTCCATTACCATGCATCTTCTTGATACGGCTTAAGAGGTGGAAATCACAAATTCCTTTAAAATTATCAATAGACAAATAACGCTCAAGTTCTCCCTACGTTTTCCAAATCAATCTCTATCAAACGCCTGAAACTCGATTTATGTGTTCAGAAATAATAAATGAACTAGATGAGACCTTAGTTGATATCCGCTGTACGGTATGTATACCATCATTTGTAAACATTTAGAAAAACTATACAATTTGAAAAGCTATTCAAAAACAAAGAAATAAATGTATCTCAACACTAACTCACTCACAACCTTATGTGTTCGAATAGCTTAGCAGGATACCTCAGGCAGTCCAGCCATCATACTTCACCACTCTGTTTCTCTTATTGCCTACACTACACACTTAGGGTTTGACAGTATCAGTGGCTCAGGTGTAGAATGCTCCTCAACCACTCTGGGGTCCAATTCTCGGTTGGTGGACTCCTTTACCTATTTCAGCCAGTTGTAAGACCAATAAGGAAGGAAGTCTTGGTAAGACAATTTAGGTTGACTTGGTAAGTACCATAATTATATCTGACAGTAAGATTTGTCAAGAATTGGCTTTTTTATTCCTTTATTTATTTTTGATTTACAGCTTGATTCCACACCGTATTTTTGGTACAAGTATGGAATTTTCAGCATGGATATCGGTAGCCCAAATTTTGCAGGCCGACCATAGATATCAGGTGTGCGCCGGCAGAGGATCGAACCTTAGACCATGTGCATGGTCGGCGAGAGTCCTAACCACTGTGCTGCAAGTAGAACATGGGGCTTCAAGGTTGAGCATCTAAAGTTGCAGTGATAGCGGGATTTTTTACGGGGAGATTTGTTGGTCTCACACCCAAACTTCCCTCTTTACCAGGCCTATTACTGGCTTAGTGAGGGTTAGGAGTGAGTCGTCCGGGGATGGAACGCCAAGCCACCTCTGTGATTGGTGAGCAACCTACTTTGGTGCCACTAATGCACATCTAATCGGTTTAATAATTGAAAATAAACTAATGAACAATAAATATATGAATACATCCGGCAACAAAGATTTCTATGTATAAATAAACAATGCAAAATTGTTTTCTACTTACCATTTGTGTAACCATAAATGCGTGTTTATAATTATGAAATGGTATACGATTATATCTTCGATAAATATCACTTAGCCATAGATCTAAACGATGATATTGTAATTTATAATGATCAATAAATCCAAGTTCTTTAAACATTTCACGTACTAAACGCATTAACTGGGCATCTGTCCTTGACCAATTATTAAATGTAGACGAACGTAATTCAAGTAAATCTTCTTGAGAAACAGGTTCTTTACTAAATAAAAAACATGTACAGTGATAAGATGGGATAATTACGATAATGATAAATAAGCACAATATAGGAAAAGAGTAGTTTTAATGAGAAATTGTAAACTGTGAGTGAAGCTTACAGACCCAGCTAAAGCAGTAGGTAAAATGATGAATAATTAAACTGGTGTCACAGTAATAAATGAGTAGTGGGTTCTCAAAAACAACAGTGAGTGTTTCAGTGAACCATTGTAAAACAAGGGAGTATTGGATAGCTATTTCTTCCTACTTCGGGACGCTTTATCAGTATATAGTCATAGGGTTCGAACCCAGTACCTTTTTGCTACAAGGTGAAATCACAGGCCATCCAGGCACTGGGACCTAACGCAATGGGCTGTAAATTCCGAATTCTGCCAAGTCGCAATATTTAACGCAACCTCCAGCCGACGTCAGCCGCGAGTAAGTGTTGTCTTACCCGACTTGGAGGACCACTCCCCTTATGTTATTCCCTGGAGGTTGCGGTATCATAAGAAGTAGCAATCCATTGGATTGGGCCATTGGATTGAGTTTCAGTGGTGGACTGGTCTAAAAGCTTGCCATGTAACTGAAAGGTCCCGGGTTCCAACCCTGGCGGAACGTCCGTCCTGATATTAAGTCCTCAAGAGGGAGGACAAAGCTGTTGTTCATTACTCCCTGCGTGTTTTCCAACGGTTCTCTAAGTGACGTCAGCTAATGGTCAGACTTGCGGCCAATCAGATCTCTGTAAAACAACGCATGAGAATGTTTTTGAGTAGATTATTACGTCATCTGGTTTGTAGTATTTGACGCATATATTTGCTAGAAAACTGTTAGAAAAACAAGCATAGTAAGGTAAAACGGAAACATTTTTATTATGTCATGAACAGTTATGAATTTATTACTAGCTAGACAACAATAAAATATGTGGGCTATGAAGAGTGAATGTACTTTTATCAAGATGAAAGACATTTATATCACGTTCCTCTCATGATAGACGCCATCACACACAACTGGTCATAACTCTGTGAAAACTGATTTTCTTAACTTTTGATATATTATGACATGTGTACACAGATTTGAATTTTAGGACAGCCGTTTGCCGATACCATTAGCCAGGAGTCTTGTAAAATCGTAGATGGAAAGGAATTAGAGTTTACGAGTCATGTGGTCGAGGCAAGGAAACTCATTGATGACACCATAATGCAAGAATACTGGGTTCTACAGCCGGCAAAGAAATCAAAGAGAGAAAAAAATGGTTTGGAGGATTTCACCATGAGCTGACATCAGTTAGAGAACCACTGGAAAACCTGTCGAAGAGTCCCAAACTAGGACAAAACAGCTGTCCAGTACTCCCAGGTTTTCCGGTGGTTCTCTAACTGATGTAAGCTCAAGGTGAAATCCTCCATGCAATCAAACAAAATCCTTACAAAACCAATACTTGAAAATTAATCTGATGCTCACTAGTGACCGGCCCTATTCAGGCAGTTAACCTGAAGTTCTAGTGAGAATCCGTGACCAGTAGGGTACAGCAGGTCGAAGATGAGGCAGTAACTCATCGAAGAAGACATTGCGAAATAGTCGCGCTGTGTCGTGAATTGCCAGATGTTAGAATTCAAAGACCACTGAATCGGGTCACAGTGGCTGAATGGTTTACGAGCTCGCCTTGTAACCAGAAGGTCCTGGGTTCGAACCCTGGCGGTGGGTGCGTACTGATGAAGAGTCCCAAACTAGACTGACGAAACAGCTGTCCAGTACTCCCAGTTGGTTTTCCAGTAGTTCTGTAACTGATGTCAGCTCAAGGTGAAATCCTCCGTGCAATCAAACAAAATCCCTACAAAACCAATAACTGAAAATAAAATAGCTGTCCAGGACCCCTTGGTTTCTGAAAGTTTCCTGAATGATGTCGGTGTATGAAGGTATCATCTTTGAATTTATCAACTGGATAAACAATCATCGATGGTCATAAATCGTCAAAACAATATCGGCCATGAAGCGTGCACGTTAGTGGTTCATTGGTAGCATATTCGTCAACCACGCCTCACGTGGTCTGGGGTTCGATTCCCAACCGATGCAGTTCTAAACCTTGCCTAGCCGGCAGTAAAGAGCGGAGGTGGAACATGAGGCTAGAAATCCTGTCGTAAAAGATAAACACTACTGATAGTGGAACTCTAGAACTCACGTGTGACGTCCTATTTTGCAGTGGAGAAGGAAAAGATTAAAAAAAAATATCTATGACAGAAAAAACTAACTGTTTATGAAATGCTCAGAGAAAAGGTATAGTTATCAAGTTAGCGTAGTGAAGCATTTTTCTACAAGCGTTAAAATTTTAGAGATACTGGCTTATTTTAAAAACAGAAACTGTCGTAATCAGAATGTTTTATTCCTAGATTCTGCTAAATACTGACGTTTGATTGTTTCAGGTAGACAAAAATTTGGAAATTTTTTTACAGAAAAAGATATTTCAGTTTTTTGTCATAGTTAAAAATTGTTTTTCACTGTTTTTTTCAATTTGTTCTCTTTTTACGTAGTTTTAAATGTATCTCTATTTTTATGCTCACTGTGATCAGAACTCAATCATAAATAGTCTATTATATTACGTAATACGCGTGCGGTAGAGCGCTTCCCAACCATGCAAGTAGTCTGGGGTTCGATCCCCGGCTGTCGCACACCATTTAACTCACTCAGCCGGTGATTTATCAGACAAAGAGGGGGGGTATTTGGCTTGAGGGTGGCAACCCCAACCCCGTACGGTTCGCACTGGTACTGAAACTTCAAAGCCAAAACTTGAAGCCCTCCTTTCCACTTAAGGCGAAAAGAAATAAAAAAATTTAAATGAAATCAGGCAACACATTGAAGGTAAACAGGAGAGAGTAAGACTGCAGTGAATATTGATATTTCCATGCGATAAATAAGCTATTTGCAAAATTCATGTCAGCTGAAATGACAGACACTAGAATGAAGTTGAAGTATGAAAACTGAACTGCAAAAAATATTCTCAGACGATTTCTTCTTCTTTATTCCTTTACATTCCGAGTGGAACAAAAAAGACTTCAAACTGGAGTCTCGAAGATTCCGTAGCAGTGATATTCATTACTCCGGGGTGGAGTCGCTAACCTCATGCCTAACTTTGCCTCTTTACCACACTTATTACTGGCTTAGCGAGGTAAAGAAGTGAGCTGGTGGCCGGGGATTGAACACCGGGCGACATGAGGCGTGGTCGGCGAGCATTCTACTACTGTTCCACCGACGCGTCAGGCAGTTTCAGTAATTCCCATTCATGCATTTAGAAAAAAACAGATTGAGAGAAGAAATATTTATTTGTTTTTAATTATTTCCTCACTATCGGCTGGCTCTGCATTAATATATAGTTTTTGACACCGAAATTGTTTTACCGATCAAGTCCTCTTTTCAGTTATTCAGTTTTAGGATTTTTCATCATGAACTGACATTAGTTAGAGAACCATTAGAAAACCACCTGGGAGTACTGGACAGCTGTTTCATCCTAGTTTGGGACTCTTCATCAGTACGCGTCCACTGGGATTCGAACCCAGGACCTTCCGGCTACAAGGCCGGCTCGTATACCATCAAGCCACTGGGACCCAATCCAATGGCCCATGAATTCTAACTTCTGCTAATTTACGATATAGCGTAACCTCTAGCCAATGTCTTCGGCGAGCATTTGTCCTCACACCCAGCCTGCTGCACCCTACTAGTTACGGGTGTGAGGATAAATACTCGCCGAAGACATTGGCTGCGGTTTTCCAATGGCTGTCTAACTAATGTCAGCTCATGATGAAAAATCCTGTAACCAATCAAATCCCTAATAACCAACACTTGAACAATCAGTTTTAGGTTTATGTTAAAAATTTTATGTTATAAATTAACTAATATATCTTATATAAATGAAGTTAGGAAGTCGTGTGAGTACCTTGATATGATTATGAGCAATAAACTGTGCTCGAAACGTCATCAGTAAAATTATTGTATAACACTGTGAGACTTTATCAAAACAAAATTTACCCATAAGGGTAATATATGTTAGTAATTAGATATGTAAGTTTTAAAGAAGGGAGGGGTGAAAATTAATTAATTACGGAATTCAAGATAAGTTGATTCTTAGGCTTTAGCAACAAGTTATTACATAGTCGAAAAACTTGTAAAATAGCGATGATGACTAAGAAGAATAGGATGACTCAGAAGAATCACGTAAAACACAAGCAAGTTAATGGAATTATCTAGAGATATAAAAAATAACAAAGTCAAAAGATAGTTACAAGGAGAAGGGGGAGAAACAAAATCGTTTTTAAAACTTAATACATATTGTGTAGTTAGCAAAATGCTTAGCTATTCTAAATTCAGTACGCAAAGAATTAAGCACGTTTACTTTTAAACATACATTTGAACTTGCTAACTGTCTTGCAGATAAGAACAGAAATGATAGGAAAATGTATTCTTTTGGTGTTAATTCTTTGTTTACCATTGATTGATTAAGACTTGTGACTATATATCTTCCAGTTGTTTTTCATCCCATTTTCCCCTAACTTATTTTAAAGATTTATTACTGCTATGTACTGACAACGTCCATTTCGCGTTTGAAGGTGAACATTTTCGACAAGTTGCTATGGGGAGTCCGTTAGGACCTTTGTTAGCGGACGTTTACATTTCTTATGTTGAGAACTTGTCCGTTGATTTAACTTCTAAATTGCCCTTCTATAAGAGATACGTAGATGATATCATTTCGATATGTGACGATCATGAAGATGCGAGTCATCTATTGGATAGACTTAACTCTGTACAGAATCATAAAAGTCTTACATGCAAGGAAGAAAGTCGCAACCAGCTTGCATTTTTTTCAGACATACTTCTGAGTCGAAGAAATGATAGTTCAATAAGACGATCAACTTACAGAAAGCCTACTTGGACAGAGCAATGCCTTAATTTTCACAGTTTCTGTCCATTACAGTATAAGAGAGGCTTCGTGAAATGTCTATTTAAGAGGATTCAACATATTTGGACGGCTGATGTTATAGACAAAGAAAACGAAATATTAATGGATACTCTTGTTGAAAACGGATATCCTTTAGAATTTTTAAACAGGTTTAGAAGTCCACTAGCCTCTAAACCTATAATCTACACCTCACTTAAGAAAAATGTCTTCATCAAATTACCCTATTACGGGAATTAAACATTGAAATTTTGAGACAAAGGTTGAGTTCGGTCATCCGTAGAACTTATTATGCAGCCCGGCTTGTTATTATCTAAAAAGCTAAAAATATGGTCCACTGTAAACCTCAAAGGTGTACAAGTGATTATGTTACATCCTACACTATTTTACCAATTTTCGTGTTTGTGTGTGTGTGTGTGGACACATACATAGGGAGGAGTAATTGTGCTTTGCATGTAAGGGTGGAGAGCATATCCCGAAATGTTTAGAAAGGCAAATGAATTGTGGAAAATCAATAGACACAGCTGGCAGACTAATAAATTCGTTTATAGCCAAACATCTAATCGAGATGAGCCATAAGACTGATGTTAACACAGGTTTTATGGTTATCTATAAAAATGATCAAGGGCGCTGTAGCTACTACTATTCATAAATTGTGTGTTTAAAAACAGTTTATTATTACTCTTAACCTACCTCCGTAATCCTTATTTGAGTGGATTACCAAACTTTGTGTTAATCATTGTTCTTATTCTTAAATTCGTTTTGTCACTTTGTTTAATGTGATTGCCCTTAATATTTTCATATATATCGACTTGACAAGTAAATGTGTGAGGGATCAGATTGTTCGAAATGTATGTAGCACAAATACATCACATTGCTTTTCAGATAATTTCCGTCTTCTAATAACACTATCCAAACTATTAAGTGTTGCTAAATCTATTAAATTATTTTGACTGTCTTATAATCCTACTCCACTATTCACCCCCCCCCCACCTTGCTGAACTCTCCACCATAATATATATAAGTTAACTTTGTTGTTCTATCTTCTATTTTGTCTCTGGGTTTATCCTTGTTTCCAAGTGAAATCTGAACTCAACCACCTTGTCTAATTACTATATAAACAGTTATTCATTAACACTAGATAATTGCCTACATACATCATCTTTGAAATTATGGTGCTTATACTTTCTATGTATAACTTGAAGTCTTTGTAAAAAGTATGTTCAGGGAAATTCTGAAGCTTATAATTGATTGATTTAGAATGTATTCAGTTGAAGAGAATCCAAGAAATAATACGAGCTTGGATTATCCTGAAAATGTGTTCATTATTTATTTATTCAAAACAGAAAGAAGCTGTACAGCTGAATAGTTTATGCGCAATTAACGAGGTGATAGTCAATCTTCGAGACTAGATTTACCAGATTAATATATCCTTTACTATCAAGAATAGAAACATAAAACACGCTGAAACAAAAAGTAAGGCATAAAGAATCACACCAACTAAAACTTTTATCATGAAGTGACATCAATTAGAGAATCACTGGAAAACCTGAGAGTACTGGCCAACTTTTTTGTCAGCCTAGTTTGGGACTATTCAGTAGTACGCAGACATTGATGAAATCCTGGAACCAGTGAAATCCCTACAAACCAACACTTGAATAAAGCAACAGCAATTTTAAAGGGACTAACCATAAACGCCTAAATTCTTGAATATTTCTTCGACTATCTGCATCTGATCGACGTATCAAATGCATTTGTGGATTTGGAGCTGGTGCATTTGATCCAGGAACAAGAACTTTATTCGTAGGAGGTTCAGATGTCAACCCAAGCCAACTTAAGTATGAAAATGACTGAAAGAAAGAAATAAAAGACAATACAAGCAACAACAAATAATACTATAGCAATGACAGTTTTCATTCTGGAGAAAAATGTTTACACTCTGTACAAAATTCTCGGCGTGAGTTACTGCATAATATTTTCTCTTTCCCCGGGATCTTTAAGTAAAATTGTAATCTGCAGTACACCAGGTGTCCCAAAGCATTTCGATTTGATGTATACATTATTCACTGGTGATATTTTCCCTTAATCTTCAAGAAAAGCCAAATAAAAAGTTCTCATAAGTAGGTTTTGTGATTCAAGGAGATAACTGAGTGTTTAAAACATTAGGAATTGAGAAACATATAATGCGACTTTTTAATTCGTGTAAAATTCTTCTATGGAACATACTGAATGTCAAAACAAGTGTATCAGTGGAGAGTCTTCTTTCAATAAAAGAAAAATGAAAATCTTGTCTATGGTCTACGAGTTTGGCAATGGTATTATCAATGTCAACAAGCTTAATACACATGTCCAGTTTTCAAAGTCTACTCAGCCAAATGAACGATCTCATACAGCGATGTGATCAAGATTATCAATGCTTCACATCTGCCAGTACCGATTCTTATAATCAGTATCTTAATGCCAAACCAAAACAGCGCAAACAAGAGCTTGCATAACTGAAGCACAATGAAAATTTATTAAAAAAAACGTTGTTACAAGGGTGCAGGTGTTGTTATCACGTTTCGTGAAGATTCCATCAATAAAATGTCACATCTACTTTCTGATAGCAGTAAATTCTGCAGACCTTCTAATGAAGGAAACAAAACTTAACATAGACAAGACGGGCGTTATGAAAATAACCAACCAACATCAACAGCAACAACATCCAGCGCCAATCACCATCAACAGGAGAGATTCGAAAGAGGTTACTTCATCCACTTATCTAGGGAGCATTGTTTCAACTACAGGATGTCGGAACGGACGAGGATGCCAAATCGAGCGAGAATCGGGAAGGCGAGAAACACATTCATCAACCTGAAACTAATCTGGAAATCTTCGTCACTCAGCCAGCATCAACAACAAAATTCAGTCGGATTTTCAATACAAACAATGTCAAGTCAGTCAGCTCTTCTATACGGATCAGAAACTTGGCGGGCGGGTCACAAAGTATATTTCCAACAGGCTGTTGCAGACCAGACCTTCATCAACAACTGTCTTTGCTCTATAGTGAAGATCAGATGTCCGGGCCGGAAAGAATCAGCAACAGGAAACAAGAAACTATGGGAACAAACAAACAAAACAAAAACCAATTGCCCAACAAATATGTCGGAGAAAGTGGAGATGGATTGGATATTTGCTGAGGAGGCCGCTCGGTGACATCGCGCGCGCGTCAGGCCATTACTCGAGTGGAACCAGACCGAAAGGGAAGCGGCGAGTAGGACGTCAGTTCAAGGGTGACATGGAGGATGTCGTGTGAAGAGGAGTTGAAATAGTATGGACTAAAATGAAGGCAGATGAAAAGTACAGAAAAGACAGAAGCAAGTGGATACGTGCAATTGAAGCCCTATATTCCACCAGGAACTGAAGGGAACAATATTAATAATAATCGTCGCTGTCGAATTCATGGGTAAAACTAAATACTGCTTACTAACTGAGATGAGTGGTAGTCTTTACTAGCCAGTCAGTTTCAAGTCATCTAAACACTTGACGGTGGTCTTGCTCGTTTAGTGCAGGGCTGTACGGTGTAGCCAGTTTGAATTAGCTAAGAGAGCCGAATCGCAATTCAAATCACCTGATTTCTGGCTAGCAAAGTGACTAAAGTGGTAACACCTTATTTGCAATTTGAAAATTTGACTAACAAAACTCGTCTTAATTCTCATCATAATAAATTTACTGATAACGCTAATAGTGCTTACTTTATGTTTCACGCAAGTCTTAAATCAATTCTATTCAAATGTCTAATCACCAGTTTTTACTCATGTATATAAATGAAGCAAGAAAGGTGTCTCTGTACCTTGGTATGATTATGGGCAGGAATAAATTGTTTTTGGTGTGGTTGTGTTCTCTGAGCTAGCTGGATAGTTAACTTGCGAAGCTTTCATCGTCCTACTAGGCAACATCTTCAGCGCATACTTCAATTTGAAATGAAGTGAGCTTTCGGATTTCTCAACGAGTGACCTTGGGCGTGATTGGTTGTTTCTGTGTGTTTTCACACCTTCTAGGTTACTTGTATTGGAACTGATTGTTTCTTTGACTTGAACTTTCAACATTTGTGTGTGAGGTTTCTTTCTTATCGGTTGATAAATTTTGTCTATCTCGATGCGTCTATTGATTGATGATTCACTGGATTACCAGGTGGGCTTCTAAACATTCTCCAGCATTCTTAGTGTTTCCTCTGTCTCGTATTTGAACGTTAGTCATCTCAGTCGAATTGATGTTCGTGGTTGTCTGTATGTAGTGATATGAGGGATGGAGTGGATGTCATGTCTTTTGACAGCTAGCTTATGTTCGTGGATACGAAGACAAAGAGGAACAAATTGTGCTCGAATCCTGGTCATCAGTAAATATTACTGTATAACAACATAGTGTGATTTTTTCACAATTAAATTTTATCCATAATGCAGTTATCATTTGATTGGAAAACGATATCAGTAATATCTGAAATAATGACAGTATTAATTAATCATTACTCCTATTTCAATTTCCTAATTTTAATTAATTATGTGGATTTAAACGTGACTACAACTGCAGACAGCAAGGATGAGAATGTCAAAACCAGTCAAAATTGGAAAGGTAAAGGAGAACTTCATCATTGTGAAATCGGTCGGGAAATCTTCTACACTCAGCATCAGCATAAAAAATAAAATTCGAGTTTTCAACATTACTATTAGGCCAGCCAGTGCTTTCATTCCGGTCAGAAACGTGACATTCGCGCATTTCCAAAGGTCGCCTTCGTTAGCTCCATAGTAAGGATCAAACGGCCAGATAAAAAGAATGAGCAATACCAAACTCTAGAAACGAACCAATCAAGAAAGTATCGCCCAACAAATATTCCGAAGAGGATGGAGATGCATCGGACACATGCTGATGAGACAACTGGTTGACACAGCGCCCTAGGCTATCGCTCGAGAGAAACCATAGAGGCAAATGATTTTGGCGTTGTTCCTAGGTTGACATGGAGGAGATGAACACCAACGGGGAATCGTTGGGCCAGCTGCAGAGAACAAGGAAAAGTGGTGGTGTCTTGTTGAAGCTTTATGTTATCCTCGGGAATTTCCAAGGGAATATTAAATAATGATACATTCTTAGTTAGCAATTGGGAAGCGAAGTAGACGGCTAGCTACTTGAGTGAAAATTACGCAATTCAAAGAGATGGCACTTCATCAGTGTTTCATTTGAAAACCAAAAAATTAAATAAATAAATTTCGATAAAGAAAAGAAGACGAAATTTGCAGCATAAAATGATATCGTCATTCTATTTCACAGGTTATCATCAGCTGCACACCACTACCGAAATTACAATAGTTATATAGATGATAATAACATACTTTTATGTTTGAGTGGTAGTAGTAGAAAAGAAATACTATAAAATTGACGCATCCAAAATGAAAGCACTACAGTTTTAGTTCAAGTTTTCATCATCAATTTATACGTTTTTAAAGTGGAAGAGAGGGGGGCAGGGGTAAGACAGAAATGTGTCTCTCATTCAAAGGAGATGCAATATCACAAAAGATTGACAAAAGACTGAAAGGTGCAATAAATAGACGCTTCCCGGCAGCAAAACTCATGACATTATACAGCACCACTCCTTCTATAAGCCACTCAAAACTGGATAAATACCCTGCTGATGTCACCTCCAACTGCGTTTATGAATTTACGTGCACTTGCGGGATTAAATACATTGGAAGGACAGAAAGAAGGGCTTCTATCCGCTTTTCTGAACATATTCCAAGAAACCTGTGCCTGAAAGGAAGCAAATATTCCCAGAGTGCAATTAGCAGACACATTGTTGATACCGGACATCTCGTAGAGATTTCTAAGTCCTTCAAAATATTAAATAGACAAAGGACAGCAAATTTACTACGATTTGCCGAAGCGATCGTAGTCAAACGATTTAAACCAGACTTATGCATACAGAAAGAGAGTGTGATTAACCTCTCACTCCCTTAGTAACTGAATTTTGATTTTGATTACAATAATTAGTCATCTAATACAGTGATCTCAATTCACCGAACAAATCTTAATCTCATAAACTGTAACCACTTTTGTTTTTTTTGAGTTGCTATGTGAACCTACAAGCTAACACTATTCTCTTAATCAATTTGTTCTGTTTTCTGTCTTACCCCTGCCCCCCTCTCTTCCACTTTAAAAACGTATAAATTGATGATGAAAACTTAAACTAAAAGTTGTAGTGATTTCACTTTCGATGCGTCAATTTTATAGTATCTCTTTTCTACTACCACTCAAACATTAAAGTATGTTATAATCATCCATTTAACTATTGTAATTTCAGGTAGTGGTGTGCAGCTGATGATAACCTGTGAAATAGAATAACGATATCATTTTATGCTGCAAATTTCGTCTTCTTTTATTTATCGAAATTTATCAAGGCGACCAACTGTATGAAACAATTGGAAAAATTGAATATAAAATATTCGATCAAAACTTGATCCCAGTTCATATGAATTTCAAATCGGAACATACCTCTATCTGACAGCGTAGATTATGCAATTTTCTATAGATTGTAATAATTCTCTTCTCCTCATCAATATCATCTCCATTATGATTGATCATTAGACGATTCATAGAATGACAATTAGAGTGTTGATTAATGTTACTGTCATTATTATTATTATTATTAATATCCTTCTTAATAATCATAAGTTTCCCACCTTCATAGACTTGATTCACTTCATTTGCTCTTTCTTCATAGTCAATCTCATCATCAACATGAAATGTGTTGACTTCATTGTGCGACGGTCGAATAACATCTTCATGATTTGGAGTTAACGTGTTAAATGCATCCCATAAACGATTATTATTAATATTACTATTTTGATTACTAGTGTTATTATCATCGCTGACATCAGAATTACTGCTTGTAACAGTTTGACAACACTTTTCTTTAGTGTTATCAATATGATCAAATAAATATTTTATGCTGTTGAAGAAGAGAAACAGTGAAGAACAAGCGAATTATAAAAGTAACAATTGGTCAAATAATGGTAAAGATGATGACTTTCATTAGTGGTAATAAAAATTAACAAATAAATAATATATGCATCACATATTTATGCAGTACATATATCTCATATACTATAAAATGTGTCGTATTCAACGCACGACTGCTTGGTGGATTTTTAAACAGGCTGTAGTTACGTCAAATATAAACTTGTCATTTTCAATCAGTCAAATTATCCCTTATTGTTATGATAACTAACAGTATTACAAATAATGAACCATTTGGGTGCCAGAGTATGACACCAATTAGAAAGTCATTAGAAAACTAGGGCGTACTGATGAAGAAATAGCTGCTTAATCAGGACTCGGACTCTTCAGCAGCACGAACTCACAGGGAGTCTGAAACCAGGAACTTCCGAATACAAGGTCTCGTGGTAGATTATTCAGTCATTGATATATAAGTATATGTCTTGATGGATCCTGCTAGTCAATTAAAAGAACAGTTTCTCGTTACAGTTGTGGATTAACAGACGTCGGAATTCACTGGCTAGCCATTAGATTGAATCACAATGGCTGAATGGCCTATAGGCTCGGCTGCTAACCAAAAAGTCCTCAATCCTAATCCCAGTGTGTGCGTGCTGTGAAGAGTCCAGACATGGGACGAAACAGCTATCCAGTTCTATCAAAACCAATCTAAGAGTAGAATTTAGACATTATGGTAGAATATAGTTCTTGATTGGACACTAGTAAATAGTGTAATGTGTCTAGAGCTTTCTTCGCTGCAGACTGAATTCTATCAGTCAGGTTTTTAATGTGGCCACCATTCTAGGTAGCTCAATATCACGGTGCACATTGATTTGATTATATTAGATGGTTGGAGGCAATCGGCAGGAAGCCTAGTCTGACTTGGTTTCGTATTAGTTGGCACTCACCAGCAAGGCGTACCTGAAATCTTGGAGAAACTCATGTCCCTTTTGAGATTCGAACCCAGAGTCATCCAACCGCGAGATCGATTAGCTCAGTGGTAACGTCTCTTACTGCAGCACTGGGTGTCGTGGGTTAGAATCTCAGAAGGTGCATGAATTTTTTTATAACAGCTTGATTCCACACAGTATTTTTGGGACAGGTATGCAATTTTCAGCATGTGATGTCGGTAGCCAAATTTTCCAGGCCGATCATAGATATCAGGTGTTCGTCGGCAGAGGGTCGAACTGCGAACCATGTGCATGATCGGCAAGAGTCCTAACCGCTGTGCCACCGACACACTTCAAGCTTGCAGATACATCCTGCTGATGAGTGCTGATGAAGCTTCCTGCCGATCGCCTTCAACTATCTAATATCATCAGAATTCCCAGGACTCATAACCATACTTGTGAATTGACATGACCTCCTAGCTTGCCTTATCTTCCCCATATTTTCTAGTTGACAGGGAATAAACATACCAAACCTCCCTATGAGATCAACTGTTTTACTACCGGTGACGTAAATATATAAGTTATCCAAGTGATTTTCCAGAAGACTAAATTATATAATAAAATTGTTCAACGACTGTATCAATTCCCAAGCCAGTTTTTAAGACAAAATCAAAAATGTACACGTAGATATTAATGAAATCATGGTATTGCTTGTTATCGAAGCATTACATACTTATATTCGACAAAAACTGCTAAAAGAAACTCTGAAACAGATACTATGTAATGATGAACGCACAAAAGCACAATGTTCACGCTGGACAGAGCTCATGAAATCATGTTAACAAAATATTTTGCATTCAATAATGAAGCATACGAACATGTAAAAGGACCACTAGTCGGATTATCCCTATCAGGACGAATAGCTGAAGCTGTTATCTAAAGACTAAAACTCATAGCCCAACCTATAATTAAACCAAAATTTGGATAGGTATGTTACGCTGATAATACTAATAATCATAATAACATCTTTATTCTGGACAGTATTTACAAAATGTACAGAATTTTCAGAGGAGTTTATTTATTGTATGATATTTTCCTCTCGTACAATATCTTAAAGTAAAAGATTAATTGAGAGTATATCGTTCCTGTGACATAATGGTCTCTGAGCTCAAGCACGAATCATTCCATTATGATATATCTCCCTTCAAGAAATCCACTATATCTAGTTGAAAGCGAATTGTAAGATGTTCAGAAGTACATTTTGAAACTCAAGGATATAAGTGAAGAACAGTTATCTCATATATTGATTGGAACACGCTGTCACCCACAATCAGAATTTTCCTCAAGTTTAGTAAGAACTTGTGAAACAAAAGCTTGTAAACATTTTAATTGCACACACAAAAGTAGATAATACCATTGAAGATCGTGTCTCAATCGGTTAAAACAAACTGAACGAGAGAAATATATGCGATAGAGAGAGAGAGAGAGGGAAGTTTTTGGTAGCTCAAGTTTTAAGCAGGCCATCACAGGTACAAGATGACACATTCGTAACAATTAAAAAGAAATGTGACCTGGAATAAACCCACAAATTAATAAACAACATATTTTAAGATACATAAAATCTACATGATAAAAAGAATTAGGTAACGAAATCCCAGTCTTGGATATCTCAATCAAGAGAACTAACACAGGGAATTTAGAAACACAAGTATACAGAAAACCAACACACTCAGATCAAATACTCAATTATAACGGTAATAACGCAATAATTGACGAAAGAAACTGTACAAACTTTATTTAAAAAGAAGACAATTGGAGGATAGGAACTAAAAGTGGATCCAGACTGGATTCCACTGCATGAAAACCACTGGAGAGTTCATCTATATAAGGAATATTTCTGAAGTAAAGACTAGTAAACTAAAACAATTCAGAATAATAATAATAATTTTGCTTTATTCCAAAACAGTACTCATGATACAGCAAGGAATTTTCAGCATTTCAGTACAATATTGCATCTAATTTACTCAAAAACGACAACAAAAAAATTAAAAATACACATTACATAATAGTAATAAAACGAATGTTATAGCAGCTACATAGCAAAATACTGTATGCAATACGGAGAAAAATATGCATAAAGTATAAAATTATAGTAATAATAGTAATACCAACTAAAATAAAATAGCAGAGTTATGATTAAACAATCGAAAGTGTGACACCATAAAATACAGAAAGATGAACAATGAAAGGGTCGATTTACTGTGCTAATTACATAGTAAATTATATATATATCACGTCTAACAGTGTCTTCATCACATAAAATACGGTATTGTAGAATTTTTGTACTTAGTGGTTCGAGCGTATAACTTCTTATATTGATTTCTCGTCCTACATGATGAGATGCATGGAGGTAGCTGTGAATAAAGGGGGTGCAGAGGATCTGACAGTATAGCCTTTGCCCATTTTGTACAGGAATTTTTATGCCTCTCGACTATAGTATTTGCGAGCTCACGCAGTGGCAGACCACAAGCCCTACTCACAGCATTTAATACTCTTCGTAATATGATATAATCTTTTTTGAGAAGCCCAGGAAAGATTAATGGAGAGCAGTAGAGTACAATAGGTAAAATACAGGAGTTTAAAAATTGCAAAACTAAAGGTTGGTTGATACCTGATTGTCTTAACTTTTTAATGTAGAAGGTAAGACGAAACATTTTCTTAGAGATAGATAAGATGTGGGATGACCATGAAAGGTCAGAGGAAAGAACTAATCCAAGGTATTTAATGCTTGATTTGGTTTCAATTTCCGTGCCATCTATGCTACAGGGATCATGCGAACTAACTAGTTCATGTAAGTCACGTCGATGCTTGAAAGTAAAGTCAACTGCCTGACATTTGGAAGGATTTAACATAAGACCATTTGACTTGGACCACTTGTTGATGTCCAACAGAAAGCTATTAAGTTTGGAGCTGTCAGACTCGGAAGTGATAGGCAGTGATACAGTCAGATCATCTGCATATTTGACAAAGTTAGTTTCGTTTGAATGAGGCAGGTCATGTAGGAAGAAAGAAAAAAGAAAAGGAGAGAGGACAGCACCTTGTGGAACACCGGATTTTGTAAGCGAGGTAGAAGAAGATTTGCCATTATATACAGTATACTGCATTCTATCAGAAAAATAGGAATGCAACCAACTCTTAGCCCAGGATCCTGTTTGTGTCAACGATAGCTTATTTAATAAAAGGCCCCTAGGTACAGAGTCAAAAGCAGATGTGTAGTCTAAGAAAGCACTACGAACATATTTAGCACCTTTGTCTAAACAAGAGACAACATTGTGATATAAGACAACCGCAGCATCCAAGGTACTTCTACCATGTTTGTATGCAAATTGTTTAGGATCATTAAAAGGTTTCAAAGCGGGTTCAAGACGAAGTAAAAGTAATTTTTCCATCAATTTTAAAAAGGGGGAAGTAATTGCAATAGGCCGAAATTTAATATCAGAACCAGAAGATGGTTTTGGTATAGGGATAATTTTAATGTTTTTCCATGCAAAAGGTAGAACGTTACCGGAAAAAGAGGCATTAAAAATGTTAGTAAGAGGATAACACAAAATATCAGCACAATTCCTGAGGACAATGGCAGGTATGCCGTCAGGACCAAGGCTTTGAGAAGGCTTAAGAGACCGGAGACATTTAAGCACATCAAGGGTATTAAAACCACTAAAGTTATTGTCAATATGATTTGTATCATTTGGAAGGGTATCAACAGAAGAGCGTATGAAAGATTTATTAAGAGTGTCAACATTAAGAGATGGGACAGAAATACATCGCTTACCGTTAGTAATTTCTTTGAAAAGTTTCCATAAATTAGAAGGGGTTTTACATGACAAAAATCTTTGATTATATAAAACACTTAGTCTTTTTATTTCCAGTTTTATCAGAGTGTTTAACTTTTTTACACCAGACTTATCATTTGTTTTGAACAACAGTTCTTTATCTCTACGTAGCTTTTTGAGATATGGCGAAGAGAAGCGATCAAATCGAATGAATAATGTTTCTTTAGGACAAC